TGTTACACGAAGGGATTACACACAATATTTGAACAGTCTGGGAACTTCATGGTATGTTTTTTTTTCATCTGCTTTTTGCACTTACTGTTGTTTCATAGTGGAATGTAAATTTGATAATAAACATGTATAACATGCCATTTTTCAGTATATTGGTCATCCTGTGTGGTTTGTTCCAGATGTCATCTTCTATACTACAGTTTTCTATAATAAACCTAAAATTAGGCCTTTTTTGGCTAAAATTTAGTGATTGTACACTGTACATGAGCTTAGTGAGTTGGTATCTGCACAAGTGGTGGCTGTAAAAGCTGAGAAATTGATTTAAAAACTTGATCAGGCTGTGCTGGGCTGTCTGCTGTTGTGTTTATAGCTAAGCAGTTACAGGTGGCAGATACGCAGTACAAGCTGCGGTCTGACTTTGCTCAGTAAATGTGCGATGCTTAAATCTGGAACAGAATGCTTGCAGAGTACCTTCTGCTGCAGTTTGAAAAGCCTTTCACTTGAGAGTGAAAAACGTCACCGATAAAGAATAGCTCATCAACCTCTAGACAGAGTATTGGAATGTGAGCCTCACTTTAAATGAATGTGTTCATGTTTTCTGGTACTTTGGGGGTTTTGTGTGTGTGTGTTGCTTTGGGTTTTTTTCTTCCTGTTATTTTACAGCAGCTAATGTGTTCCTCTAGCATTATAGTGTTAGACAACAGTGTCGTCTAACACCACTGTTGATTTTCCATCTCAAGTAGCTGATGTTATGTCAGCCCTCTATATTTGTGATAAAATGGGGGTAGAGATTTAAACCAAGCGACTTACCCTTGAAGAGTACTCCCTTTGCATAGGTCTCACTGAAGTTCTTTTGGCACAGAGGTGCCAAATTCTTGCCAGTCATGTCAGCCTGGGGCTGATAACCACCTTTGGCACAAGCCCCTGCGCTCACATTTCAGGTTGGAATGTTCTGATCATTTTCCCCAAAACACTCCGTTCCTTCAGTGGTACAGAATGGGAACATTGATTTGCATTTAAGTTCTTACTTGAATTAGCCTAACAGTTACTGACTGGTTCCTCTAGTAGTCTGTGTGCATGACATCTCAAAGAACTGAGAAGCCCCATTATCCTATGGTAAGTATCCTGTATTTGTTTGGCTTTCTTTTTTTTTCCAACATGAGAACAAGGATAGGGGCTTGCACTCTTGTCAGAGTGAAGTTGACTTTTCAGCTCACCTGCTCATATGCTGAAGCTTATGAGTTGGACATTTTGAGGAGACGTTCTCTTCCCCTCTTCCCACTGTTCTCTGCAATTGTCACACCTATGAACGATTAGGCAGGATTGACCTGCGAGCTGGCACACTGGTATCTGGCTTGCAAGAGACCTTGACTAAGTTTTACTAGTAAGTAAGTAACTTACACTGTTTCCTAGTATTCATTGTATTTATACACGTGAGTACTTAACATGTTTGCATTTGTATTTGCATGTCATCAGAACATTACAGAAGTGTGTCCCACAGTGGAGAGAAGCATTATGGCCGTAGGCAGTGAAATGGCACCAGAGGAATGTTAGATAGCAGTAGAGTTGGAATTTCTGGCTATGTGCTCTCTCTGCATCAAAGCTGTTCATGGTGTATGTGAAAAGAAAATTTAAATGTACAAGTTTCTGTTGAACTCCAGAGATTTCAGCTGTCCTGAAATGCTCGAGCCTGAGGAGTACAGCTGACTGCCGCTTTGTAAGAGTGTACATGCTATGTAAGAGTGTAAGAGTTTGGGGAGGGTTTTTTTTTTTCCAGTTGTTCTCTAGCACTTTGGATGTAATAATGGAAGAGAGTTGTAACCCCTTTGAAGCTGCAGGAAAAGAGCTAGAACTAACCACAAAAGCTCAGGCGTGCCTGAGGAAGGTGCAAGGAGGAGCTTCCTGGAGAAAAGAGGTTTATTAAGCCACCTAAATCACTGGGACTTTGGCAATTCTTAAAAGGAATTCTGGAGTGATTCTGCACAATGAGACTTGGAAGAGCCTAGTGCTCTTTTCTTGTTTTCCTTTTAGTTGGTCACACTGCTAAAAGAAACTTTTGACAGTCTCCCAGGAGCAAGAGCATTTAAATAGCATTTTATATAATGGAGAAGTGAATACAAATAAGGCCTTTTGTGTGGGTTGGAGTCTCCACTTGAAAATATCTGTAACTCTTGCAGTTGAGCTCTCAGTGTGTAGGTTTGGATAACCAAAGAGAAGCTGTGGTTTTAGCTGAAATTTTCAAATTAACTGGAAAGACAGAAAACCTGTGTACTGGTTTTGGCTGGGATACAGTTAATTTTCTTCATTGTAGCTGGTATGGGGCTATGTTTTGGGTTCGTGCTGAAAACAGTGTTGATTATACAGGATTGCTGAGCAGTGCGTACACAACATCAAGGGCTGGGGGTGCACAAGGAGTTGGCAAAAGACACAGCCGGGGCAGCCGACCCCAACTGACCAAAGGGATATTCTATACCACATGATGTCATGCTCAGCATATGAAGCTGGGGGAGGAAGGAGGAAGGTGGGGAGACATTTGGAGTGATGGCGTTTGTCTTCCCAAGTAACCGTTACGCATGATGAAGCCCTGCTTTCCTGGAGATGGCTGAACACCTGCCTGCCCATGGGAAGTGGTGAATGAATTCCTTGCTTTGCTTTGCTTGTGCACATGGCTTTTGCTTTTACTGCTTACACCATCTATCTCAACCCATGAGTTTTCACACTTTCACCCTTCCTACTCTCTCCCCCATCCCAGTGGTGGAGACTAAGTGGCTGTGTGGGGCTGAGCTGCCTTCCAGGGTTAAACCTGCTTCTGTTACATCTTTCTGGTGGCTCAACTCCCCTCCCAAGTTCTCATGCATTTCAGGCTAACAAAGAAAACTCCTTCTCTGTTAAAGGACTGCTAAATGCTCTTCATCCCAACTGAGTCATTAGGAACTGACAGAAAGGGAACACAGCCAAACTGAAGAGAAGGTGCAGCACTGAGCTGCGTCCCATTCGTTGCGTTGGGTAATCAGAACTACGAGTAGCACAATAGGCAGATGAGAGTGCTGTGCTGTGAAGAGACCTCTATGTGTTTTCCTTACATACTGCTTTCACAGCTTGCTTCAAGAAGCTCACACATTAGAAGTCATTGGCTTGCAAGAACATTTCCAGAAATTAATGAAGAGCGCAGCTGCTGAAGAAAAGCTGGGTATTGGCAAAACTGTGTGTAAAATTCAGTGTTTATAGTCAAGATTTTAGGTTGTCAAATTGCCTGAGAATTTGTCTCTACAATCCTAACTGAACTGAGAACAAGACGGGACCAAGGGGAGGGAGACGATGATAATACCCCGAGTCAGTGTGAGCCAGAACTGTCTGCTTCCTTCATATGAATGAGTGTAATTGGTCTGTGGAGCTGCTAGGGTTCCTTGTCAATAGGCTAGATGTCAGTAGCTTTATATGAGGAGACTAATGGTGGAGATTGATAATTGACAGGTTTGATTCCTAACTGATGAAGAATTCCTAACCAGATTCATAACTCATTATGAGGAGATTCCTGATAAGACCTCGTTTATGGCATGCATTAAATCTTGCTGGAAAATTCCCCGATTTTTTTACCATGAACACCTGCGATAACTAGTTCCTTGAGTGTAGTCAATTCTATTTGCTGTATCTTTTTCCTTTTGATTCCTAAGGAAGATGTCTATGTGAGCATGCTGTCAGTCAGACACCTCTGACTTCAGAATCTCTTGGCTCACTTAAATTTTGTCAACAATGCAGACCAAAGAAGATCCAGCCTCCCCCTCTAAGGGAAAGGGAACTGTGAAAGTTCAGTAATTCTGCTCTGCCTGATCCCCGTCGGGATCCACAGTGTGACAGACAGGGAGCCCAGGATGTATGCACGGAACTGGAAGTTGCTGAAGAACACAGGTGACTTGTAAGAGGTAAAGTGCTGAGCAGTATGTGTGGAGAGTAGGGATCTAGGAGGAAAATCCACAGTAAAACAGGTTGCATTAATTATTTTGCCCATGGAGTAATATGCTTGTTTGCCAATAGCTTCTATTCAGTATTTAAGAGAAATAAAAATGGGTTTCTTTTTCACTTGGATTGCACAGTTCTGGCCCTGTCCAAGTAACAGACAAATGTCTGTATCTGAGCTGTCCTTGCTTCAGCACAACTCAATGGTTTCATGATGAATCCCTAAACAAGCATCCACAACTATCTTGGAAAACTACTCCTAGAATTTGGAAACATAGATTTGCCTGTTTCTGTAACTGCTTGCTACATCTGCCACTTGTTAAGGTTCTAATCATTCTCAGAGTCTACAATCTCTCTGCCCTTATCTTCGCAGACATGAACTGGTACCAAAGAGAGAAGTATTCAGCACAGGAGTCCAAGGAAGGACTTAGGCTATTAAAATAATTCCAGTGCAGATCTATCCGTTCAGTTAAATAATCACCTACATAGATACCATTACTAATGCTGAAAGCTGTAACAAGGGTGTAACAGAATGAACATCTCATTGAAAACAGAACAGAGAGACTAACAAAGCTTTAGCTTCTACTCAGACCTTGTAAACTCCCTGTTCTGTGTGCATACTAATCAAAGGAAGCAATATAAAAATGTTTTTAAGGAGCTGGGTACTTACCCAGCAACTTCTTTTGCTGTGCTTAGAACTGAGACTCGAAGATCAGCAAGGTAAGCGAACACAGGATAACTGGACATCTTCAAACATGAAGCTGTACCTGAGCAACTGATTTTCACAGTGAAGACTACTCTATGTAGAGGATACTCTGAAATGCAGGTCACAGCCACATCCTGCTGAGGATGCTGGAGGACAAGTGATTGACTTTTTCTTGAGGTGTACCAAGACACTAAAAATGAATGGTGGGGAGACGTGGTGGGGAGAAGTAACAAAACACACTGATGTGAGTCAATTATATCCTATAAAATTTGCAGCACACACACCCCCATCCCCCTGCTTTATTTTGCAGAAGTTAGGCATAAAATACATAAGGCTTCATAACAGTTCTTTTAAAATTTGCATTGGGAAGATACCTTACTGAAGAAACAGCAATGTGGTACAGCTGATAGAGGGCACTGAGCATATTTTAGCCAGCAAACCACAAATCGCAGACCAGCTCAGAGATGCTCTCAAGTATGAAGTGTCATACATATTAACACAAATTTCTTAAGGCTTTTGCTCCTTGGCTGTATTTTCAATAATAACATTTGCTCTTGTGGTAAGAGCAGACACTGAAAGTCTGTTATGTTTTACCAAATTCTTAGCTAGCTGATACTAGCTCATTCCAGGCTGCTGCTGCTCCCTCAGCCACACAGTCCCCTCCCATTTAGTTGACGGGAAAGATGAGCTTTTTCCTCAATGTGAAACTGGGCTGTGGCATCTGCTTCTCTGCATTTGGCTTGCAACTCTTTCTGCTCACCTCTTGATTCACTGCTGTCAGAATGGTGAGAATATCTTCTCCTCTGCAAAAACACAGGTATATTTTGTATTAGGGAGGCAGTTAACATCAGAAAAATTACCACATTTTCATATATCTTGATCTATACCAGTGCTAATGGCTCCTGTTTTAAACAGGCTTACAAAGCAGTTAGCTAAGCTGCTTTGAACAATCTGCATAGTGTTGCTCTGTCCTACATTACTTTTTTTCACTCTGAGAGCGCACTCCCTCTGTGTATCACCTACCTCTGCACCCAAATCAAACTTCTGTCATTCAGAAGGAAAATACAGGTGTTGCCAAAAAGAAACTTATGGAAACATAGTTACCGAGGACAGCTGTACTCCAAGTGCTGGCACAATGCCTGTATGTACCAGGTCCCCTGCCTTGGGCTTCTGTAGGAAACATAATCTTGCAGGGTAGCCATGCCCAGGAGGAAGTCTGCCTCTGAGGGGATACAGTCAAGCTGAAATCTTGCATCTGTTTCTACAGAAGAATCTTGCTCTCCAGAATCTGTTTCGATGGTCACACCTTTCTGGCAAGCATCACCTTGGCAGGCCTGAACAAAAAAGACTTTTGGTTTTCCAGCAAGTGAGTGGCAATTCTGTCCAGTGAAAGAAGTGGTCAGTTCCTGGATAGGTATTTCCTGCCCATCAACACCATATATAATGCCTTTTTTCCCATGAGACAGGATACAGCAAACAAAACAGTCTCTGTCCTTGTGGTCTTCGCACCGGTAGATGTTCACAGTCTCACGGATTTCCTCTGCGGTGAGGTCTCTATATTCTGCTATTGTAAAATGAAGCTTGCTAAAGACTCTTCTCAGAGCCGCTGGAAAGTAAACAGAAGGGGAATTGGAGCTGTTTCATTATATGAAAGTTGGACTGCAACTGCAAATTGCATTTCTAGAGATAAACAATCTTTTTTTTAAATCCTGCAACACTACTGTAACAGGTAGTTACACTACTGCTCTGAAAATAATCTAGTAGTCTGATCACTAATCACATCTCTACTGAGTTCCCTTAACTCTCATTAAAAGGCTTCCTTGCAATCTTGCTGTTTAATATAGCCTCTGTCTGGAAAGTGTTCAGAACTATTAAGAAAGCTGTATCGCTTTCCTCCACCCACTTTACAGCTCGTCCCTTCATCTCCCAAAAGGTGTTGAACACTACAGTTGCTTTACCCGAGAGGAGAGGGCAGTACCCATTTGGGTAGTAACTGTGTCACAGGAAGAGAAACTTTGAATTTCAGTTCAGTTAGGGAAGGCCCATTGATGGATTTTGTCTCTTCGCATAGATAGTGCAAATACACCCATCTCACAGACCTTCGGACCTGGAATGAGCTATGCTGCTGCTGCAGGACAGCCTGCTAAAATCAGGGCTCCTGAATAGCAAGGTAATCAAGTCCCTAAATTCCAACATCCTCCCACCTTTTTTTTTTTTTTTTTTTTTTGGTTGTTAAACAGCAAATGCCCCATTCTGGTTCAGCAGTAAATCTGTTTCTGATTTTGCGTATTTTAGAAGTAGGATGCATAAGGCTGACAGAAAGCTAGCCTAGCTTGTAAAGTCCAGGCTGAGGTTACTGCTTAAGGTTGCAGTAAACTCAGTAAAACAGCAAAATGCTAGCGAATTGTTCCGAGTCAGTCAGTAAAAGCTTGATGAGTTGATTAGGGTTTGTCAGCACAGGAAACAGAGCTGACTCAGCCACTACAACGGAAGTATCCTAGAAAGGGTAGATTGAAATTCAGACCTTTAGTACAGAAAAAGAAATTAGGTTTCTATTTTTGAAGATACACAAACTTATCTTCAATATTCACTGTACCTGCATCCACGTCTGTCCCATTCCGATCTTTCATGTTTTTGGGTTCTGGCACTGCTTCCCTGGCTTTTGCAAAATTGTGGTTATTCAGGATCAGGCACACTCCACGGGGTCGGCTAGTCATTTTGTAAGCTTCAAGCTGTCGAAAAGAAAGACTACCGGTAAAACTACTGCACTCTCCTCTAGGTGCTTCTCAGCCTTTGCTAGTGGCACAGAATGGTAAAGAGCCAGCTGGCTTTCTCTCTAGGCAGCTCTCCCCATACAGCTTTGCTCCCAGGACCTTGCAATGCACTGCCCCACTGCCTTTGGGAGCCTGTGCACTGCATGACAGCACCCCCCCAGACCCATATCATCATGCTCAGCCCACATGGGGTGCTGCGTTCACCCACTTCTCCATGCCCAGCCATCTGCCAACTGTGTATTTCCTGATATAATAAACTCAGCCTATCTTGCTACCCTTGCAAATGTTCCTGAAGTTTTAACACTGCAGCAGCTGCTACCTGTGACTTAGCTTCACTATGATGTTACAGAGTGGTGCATTTTTCTTTTTCTAGATAGTGCTTTTAACACTTGGGCTTATAATAACTGTTCACCTCATGGAGGGATGATCTCTTCTAAGACAAAATGATGATGCTTCTAAGAAACAAACTGACTTACCTGGGAAGATTCATTCCAACTGCCAGGAGAATCAGGTGCCACAGATGACGCCAGCCATTTGGTGTGGGCTGAATACAGACAAAAGAGTTTTAAGTACAGAATGTAGCACTAGAGAAAGGAAAGAAGCTCTGTTCCTATTCTCCATCTGCACAAGTACCTCCCAGGATAAAACTGTTCTCTGAAAACACTGAATTGTGGTTGAACGGCTGTTCCTGTTAGCTATAAACCACTAGATAATCAATTAAAAGGGAGTAAAATGTATTGTCATCAGTTAGTAAGTAACTGGATACTCGATCACTTTTTAGAGAGGCATCTGTGTAAAGAAGAGAGATGCAAGTGGTGCAGAGAGTCCAAAAGCTGAAGAAGAGCAAAAAATATAAACATTAATTTTTTGAGAGTTGTAATTACCTTCAGGGCCTCCTGTGCTGCGCCTCTGTTCCTCTGTGATGAGCATCTCTTCTTCACCTGAAAAGCAATCATTATTAGTCCTGTATGATACCTATATGTCACTTCAAGAATAACTACGGGAAAGAGGCTGTTTTGTTTTGTTTTACCAAATAGGTTTAATTCATACTCTTCAATTCTCTTCAACAGGCTGATGTTAATTTCTGCACAGAGACTCTTCAGGATACTTAGGTTGTCTTCTCCCAAAATCCCCTTCTTCTCCATCTCAATGAAAATGTCGAGCATTGTCTGGGTAATCAAAAAGGTAGTTTGCTCTTAGGGCACATCCATGCTGCCACTGGGAGGGAAGTTGCAGCATGTGCACCTAAGCTTTAACGTACTGACAATACATGCGACCCACAGAGTCAGTCCAGCCGACTGGTAGCTCAGTTGAGACCCCAGCTGAGTCAATTAAACCTAGTTCCAACAAAACCTACAAGTTCTGTAAATACAAACATCTTCTCAAAACATACTCGTTTCCCTTCTGCAGCTCAGAGATGCCAAGATCTAGTAAGATCTAATCCAGGAGATCTAATGGTGATTGTACAGGAATATATAATGTAATTTTTAATGACTGCTTTCATTCATTTGACTTCCAGTGGCTATCTTGTGCTCTTAACTGAAACACAAGAATCACTGTAGCGACCATCTTGAGCAATGGCAAAAATGGGTATAACCATGCAAGTATGGTATAGAGATTGCTCTGAAGCAAAAGGGGACCCCAAGGGACAGGAGCTCTTGCCAAACAGTGAGTGGCAGAGCACAGTGGTCACCCCAAGGATTTGCTAGAACAGCTATCACTAGATGGTCACAGTTTCTCCTCGAAGAAAAGAGGGAAAATGCTACAAGAGTTTTCATTAGACAGAACAAAATACCCAGCAGTCAGAACTACAGGCTGAGATAGTGTGAGAGCAGCTGGATCTCCCACAAAGCTATTTGTAGACTCTAAGCTCTTGGGCCTTAGCAAGGATCTCCTGCTTAGATCCCTATTTTCTGAATTTGGAAATAAAAAGAACAAAAGTATAAAGTAATAGCCACAGTGGGTGATTTTCTGTGTTTGGTAATGGCTTAGAAAGCAGCCAAAAGAAAATCGGTTGAGCAAGATGAGTGAATGTGCTCATCAGTCTTCCACTGATCAAAGTCACTGAGTCTCCTAAGCACCATATGGTGCTCAGACATGAAGGCCTCTGTGCCTGGCACAGGGCTGGCCCATGCTCTCTGGGCTGTAACACTGCTGGAAAAGCTATGCATAACACGAGCACAGACAAGTCCCATATGCACCGGAGAGCCTATAATCCCTTTCCAGGTGCACCCTTTTTCTCACGGTGTCTTCACCATAAGAAGAGTGACACTCATTCCCCTCATAGCAACCCAAATGTCTCCATGGATTATAATAATCATTTAAAAAAAAAAATATTAAGGAAATTCTTACAGTCTTAGGGTTTAGCCTGCATTTTGGTAATTCTTTCCCCAAAAGAAACTTGAAAGACTTCAGCTCATCTTCGGTGATGTCTTCTGACAGCTGAAAGAGCAGGTATCTAGAAAAAGAAGTGGAGGACACTGTTTCAACATGTTCCCAAACACGTCCCTTAGCACAATTTAACACTATAGTGTTGAACCGCTCCCTTGCCCCCCCCCCCCCCCCCCCACCCCAAAACCCCCCTTTTTTCTCTTTTTAAATGAGGGGACATCAGTCCCCGGACAGCCTGAAGTCAAACCATTTTCAGCTGCAATTAAAAAGCTCTCAGTTTTCCTAAAATCAAAACCACGCTGAAACTTTCTGGAGTTGAGAACAAAGACTCAGCCCCCCTCACTTGTGGCACCACGCAGCACCCGGGCAGGGAGGCCCTTCTGGGGGCTGCTAAGCATTTCAGAAAGGTGCGGCTTCAGTTTTCTCCCTTTCGCTGGGCAGAAATTTCAACGCTCCGTATGGCTCGTACCCGCTTCCTCTTGGAAGACGCTTGTGCGCTCCCAAACCTGAGCCCGGCGTTCAAATCGTCGGTAAAAGCTTACACCGCCCACAGGCGAAGGGCAGCCGGCCCCAGAGAGCTGCCTCCCGGGTGAGGCCCGGCCCGGCCCGGGCCGCCCGCCGGACCCGCGCCGCCGGTCACGCACCTGTAGGCCGACACTCGTGCCCTGCCTGGGATCCGAAGCTCTCTCTCCATCTCCTCTCGGCTGGAGCCCAGCTGGGCAGCCAGGAGGTCCATCCGGCTGATGCGGTAGAGCAGCTCCTTCAGGAAGGAGAGGTTCCCCGCCTCCATCATGCCTTTCTCCTGCAGCGCTTCGAAGAAGTCCTGCGCCTTCCGGATGGCTTCCAGCTTCCTCATGGGGACGTGCTCCAGGCTGAGGAACTTCAGGGCCGCCAGCTCGGCCTCGTCCAGCTCCTCGCTGACCACCAGCAGCCGCTGCCTGGGCAACTCCATCGCTCCGCAGCGCCGGCGCCGGCCCGGGCCCGGGCAGGGGCAGAGGCCGCTTCCCCGCCGCCCGCCGGGCTGGGGCGGGCAGAGGGCGGCGCTCGGGCCCCTGGGAGCTGTAGTTCCTTCTGGGTCTCTGACTTAGACAAACCAACCGACAAAAAAACCGCAACTCGACTTAAAAACTGCGCGTCTGCCAGAGGGGACTTCTCTCGGACGCGCTGTAGGCCCCCTCCCTTCGCGGCTATGAAGCACTGACTATTCCTGAGTCCGTTCTTGAGAAGGCTGAACCTAGGGGGGCCGGTCTAAAGGTCTGCCTTTCCCCCCAGCTTCTCTGCAATCACCTCTCCCTGGTTTAAAGGCACTCGCAGTTCATTGCCATTTTAACACCAACAGAAAGACGCTCACAACGCCACTGACTCGATGTCCGCCTCGCGAGCCTTTTGGGGCTGCTGGCAGGCAAGGCAGCGCGCTCAATGCGGGCGTTCGGCCCTGTACCCTAACAGCCACTGGCCATGGAACCAGCTCCCTTCCCACCCCTCCCAGATCTGCTGAAGATCCTTCTAGCACCAGGAGCAGGCTCGCAGGAGTACTGCACCACGGCGATGGTGCACCACCTCTGATAACACCTTCTCCTGGTTTCAGCTGGGATGTAGTTAACTGTCTTCCTAGTAGCTGGTACAGTGCTATGTTTTGAGTTCAGTATGTGAAGAATGTTGATAACACTGATGTTTTCAGTTGTTGCTCAGTAGTGTTTAGACTAAAATCAAGGATTTTTCAGCTTCTCATGCCCAGCCAGGGCACCTGACCCAAACTGGCTAACGGGGTATTCCATACCATGTGACGTCCCATCTAGTTTAGGAACTGGGAAGTGGGGGCAGGGATTCGCCGCTCGGGGACTGGCTGGGTGTCGGTCGGCAGGTGGTGAGCAATTGCCCTGCGCATCATTTGTACATTTCAATCCTTTTATTACTACTGTTGGCATTTTATTAGTGTTATCTTTATCATTATTAGTTTCTTCTTTTCTGTTCTATTAAACCGTTCTTATCTCAACCCACGAGTTTTACTTCTTTTCCTGATTTTCTCCCCCATCCCACTGGATGGGGGGGGAGTGAGTGAGCGGCTGCATGGTGCTTAGTTGCTGGCTGGGGTTAAACCACAACACACCTTCTGGTGCAGCACTCTCCGTAGATGGTACTTCACAACAACGGGAGGGAGGAGGGAAGAGATTTTACCAGTTAGCATTTCATCCTTCTGAAAATGAACATTAACACCTTAGTGCTCACCTTGAGCAAGAGAGCAATCCTCAGAGCATCCATACTCTCCAAATAAGGAAACAGTGTTCTTCTCATTAAGCCCCAATTTAAAACAAGACTCCCTTCCCCCAAAGAAGAGGAAAAAACAGTTCGACAATATATTAAGCAGAAATCTTCACATTGTTATCATAGAAGCAGCTTATCAATGTTCTAAACCCCACACAGATATTTGATTACTGCACATGTGGCAAGTTGGGTCAAAGGTGGAAGTAACCTGAATATGGCAAGACATCCCATGAGCTAACGTGCCCTCAAGTCATGTTAAAACATGCTCTTCCTAGTAAATAAACTGAAGGAGGTATGGATCCTTCTCTTTGCACTGATATGCCTGGACAAATCAGGCCTGAGCACAAAGTGGCTACACAAATATGAAACTAATGTAAAAGACCTAGGCCAAGCTCAGAAGACAGGCCCAGAATAACGTTCCACCTAGCTAGAAATGCATTGGCACCCACAGGACCCAGCCACATTTGGGGCCTGGGGAATTCCTGTGGCTGCCAATAACAGAACCGATACAGTGACAAGCAAAGACACAATTACAGAAAGGACACACAGAAATGAGTATCTGGGAATTTTTTAGCATGTTTCACAGAAGCCATTGCAGATTAAACATGCCATTTTCTGTTCATCATTTGACACATCCCGAGCTGAAAAGAGGCAGATCTGAATAATTTCAGAGAGAACATGCCCATGTTAGGAGTCAGAATACAAAGGGTAAGCAGTGAGGGTTGAACACCCAACATCTCCTGAGAAAAATCTAGCTCTGGACTTCCTGCTGCATAGCTTAACCTCCTAAATGGTGTGCATTTTGTTTCCACTTCTCTGGGCTTCAAGATTTCCTGCAGGAGATCTTAAAGATCACAGACATAGCCAACAGTTCAACTAATCACAACTCCACAGTACCTGACTTTTTCACACCACTTTGAGAATGAAGAGTGAGCCGTTATATAGGGAAAACACATACTTACAGCAGCCTGTGCAATGGGCGAAGCTGGTAGCAATCACAACACGGGCCGGCTCCTCATACGTACCACCAACCCATCCCAAGAGCAGCACGTTAACAAGTCACCCTAACATCATTAGAGTGGAGAGAATTACAAACTTCCCACAGAAGGTGGGCATAAACAGCTCTCTGGGAAACTGATGTTAAACTGAACGAATAGGTAGCAAGATGCAAATGACTGGGCAGGGATTCATGCCACTGAATAACATTACTTCCGCCTCTGCAGCTAACAGTTCTCCCTAACTCTTCTAAGCATGTCTCTTTTCAAACAGCATCACTCTGATCTTGCCTGCTTTCAGCTTAAGCCTGCGGGACTTCAAGTCACCAACTTCACTTTCCTACCAGCCTTCTGACTCCACTTTCTGGTGGTAGCACTTCTGCTGGCTGAAAACAAAACACAGAATTGAGTGCCAGGATAGTTTTGCTATAGCATTTAGCCCCCCAGCCAGTAGTTGAAGAAAAGGGAGGACAGGCAAAGTAACTATAGCTGAGGGCCTTCAGAGAGGAAAGGTGATTGCCCCTCACCATTCTCCAAGTGGTGCTACAGAGGAAAAACAGTCAGAAAATTGCAGATCTGACATCCTTCTTACGTCTCAGTTTTGGGGAGGGGGGGCTACTAATAAGTGCAAGAGCATATCAGCCACCCTGCCACAGGTGTGTGTGAGCATACTTTGCTCAGAAGCATAAAACTCAAAGTGCGTTTTCTCCTTCCTTGATCACTGCATGAGCCACACATAAATTCACAGTATGGCTACTTCCTGCAGTCCTTTAGAGGATTCTGATGGGCTTTTCTCTCCCTTCTAGTAGGTCTTCATCAGCAGGCAATAACGTTAGCTATGGAGGTGGCCTGATTTTAAGAGATAGAACAAAATACCATGCCAATTTAATGACAAGATGCGACTGACCAGCACACCCACTCCAGTGGAGGACACCTCAGAGGAGAAGGGCAAAAACCCAATGATCTCAGAGAAGAATATATTGTAAAGAAAGCTCATCAGGACACTGGAGGGTAACCTTAGTTTCAGAGAAGACAGCTGCACCTGTGAATCATCAGGTTCCCCAAGACAATTTACAAAGAATAAGGTCTTCCTGAGCTACCCAGACCAGCATGGGGGGGTGGTGGTGGTATGTGAATATGTGGCTCAGCCCCACAGAAAAGTATAAAAACTGCATAACTGATAAAATATTTAAACTTTGAAAAGAGCAATGGGCTTCAGCTGGCTTCAACCCACATGTTCCATTGTGACTGGGGATGCCCAGTGTTATGAGCAGAGACAGGTAATAAGACAAGCAGTAATGAGTATTATGAGTAATATTTGTATTGTGATTCAACTGTATATTGCAATTGCTAAATTATGCTTGTGTTGTGATTTCAGTATGTTGCTATATCACTCTCCTAAATCAAAATCCCATGTAGCACCAAATATACCAAATAAGTAAATTTGATATTCAATTTCTCCTCATAAAGAATATCTGAAAGAACTTGGTCTGAGAGTATTGAATTCCAACACAGAGAAATATGAAAAAATCCGAAATGCTGTGGACTCACAACTTAGCTACTGGAGCAGCTGCCACCTTCCAGCAAGTTTCTCCCAGAGGAAGCAGTTATTTCATTTAAGCTATAGCTGTCCTGGGTTCAGCTGGGCTAAGAGTTAATTTTTACAGGAACCTGGGAGGTGGGGGGCATAGCCGGGGCAGCTGACCTGAACTAGCCAAGGAGCTATTCCATGCCATGTGACATCATGCTCAGTATATAAATGGGGAGCGGGCTGGGGGGAGTTCTCTCGACTTTCGGTGGGGGAAGTGGCGGAGCATCGGGTCCCGGGTGGTGAGCAAGCATTGCACTGTGCATCACTCTTTTTGTATACTCGTTCATTAGTACCGTTGTTGTTGTTGTAACCTTTTTTTGTTTGTTGTCCCAGTAAACTGCCTTTATCTCAACCCTCGAGGTTCCAGGTTTTTTTTCTTTTCTCTCCTCCGTCTCCCCCCTATCCCACCGGAGGGGGGCGGGAGGAGTGAGCGAGCGGCCGCGTGGTCCTTTGTTACCGGCTGGGCTGAAACCACGACAATAGTTCCTTATCATAAAAAAACATTCACAAATCTAATTACTAACTTCATATTGGGGTCTCATTTATGAAAACATTATAAAAATGTAAATAAATTGTTGCCACATTTCCTAAATTGTTAACCAAATGTCAGCCACAGAACTGTATCATACCTGGCAAAACCTTCTGGTAACTTTTGCCACAGACAGCACTCGCATTTACATAGTGCTTGTAACGTCTGTTTATTATTTATGAAACCTGTGTGAACAGAGTTGTGATTCTAAGAATGGGCATTCTACCTTTTACTTGGAAGGTCAACAAGGGTAAGGGGAGCAAAATGCAACTGCCAACACATTGTGTGGAATTAGAATGAAGAAGTTTTGCTTCAAGAACACAAGCAGGATTAAATAAAGAACCCTTGCTTTTATGGCTAGACATGGCTTTCCAAAAAATACAAACTAAAAAAAGCAAAAGTTACGAAGTGTCTTAAATCCATCCTTTATCTTTTTATAAACTCAAAAGGAATGTAGCTATTAGAATCCCATACAGCTCCCACATACCACCTACACATTTCTGAGGATGCAAATTAAGAACAGCCTCACTGGCATCAGCCGCCATTATCATGAAAGTCCTGAACTTAAACTTATTCTTTCCTACCATCTCTTCAGCTGCTAATGAAGGGATATCAATATGCTACCCCCTGGGGTGGCTGCCATCCAATACTTCAACAAGAGCAAAATAACTTCTGCTGCTGAAGTAAAAGTGTTCATCATGGTGACTGTACCTCAGTCAGCTCATCCAAAAGAGAAACACACCACAAACAATGGTGATGTGAAAACGAAGAGTATTTATTACAACAGAAAGAAGAGTCCACAGGAGCTAGAGTCAGTTGCCAGGAGAAGGCATCTCAGAGCAGTGGATCTAACGGAGCAGCACCTTCCTTCCAGCGGCTGACAGCCATTCAAAACAGTCCCCTAAGAGCTCTGAGAAAAAACACAATTAGAACCCTTACTATTAAAAAACCTAAACAGCAGTGCTGTTTAGCCAAGTAAATTAGTAATATAAAGCAAACTAAATATTTGGAGGAAAAGAATAAAACTTGTATTATCATCACTTTTCAGTCCTTCTGGACAGGGATGTTATTTTCCATGAAAAATTATACAGCTTCCAGAGACAGCCAGTGATTCACCTCTGGGTAAATCAGTTAACAATCTTACACATGCTCCCTGGGAAGGGATCTAGCATTCTGAATCCATCTGTTCTTTTCTTCAGATTTCAGGGACTTACAACAACTCGGACAGAAATAAGACTTCCACTGCCATTTCCAATAACTCTTAAAAATCACACTATCTGGAAGTGCTTCCTCTCTTGAAACCCAGACTGAACAGACTCCACTGCTTCTGCAGGACAGAAAGCCAGATCTGTACTCCTCTACGGCCTTACCAGACTGCTACAGATCCTGGTGTCAGGAGACTGATTAACCACGGGATTGGAAAATTTAGGTCCCATGGCCCCTGGTAGGACTGGGACTAACTACATAGATCCAGACAATTTCTCTTGCAAATTCTCTTCCCTGTGGAAGCCCATTCCAGATGTGATTCCCAACTGAGTGTATTCCTATTTTTCTACTTTTCAGTTGACTAACATTGTGGAATTTGGAAGATCAATTGCTTCCGTAGGGTTGATGTTATCTTTGGCATCTGCTTCCATCCATTTAATACTCTTCTTCCCACTTCCTTGTTCACTTCTGTCAGGATGGTTATGAGATCCTTGCGGCTTTGAACAAAAATGAAGAAAAGTTACATTGAAATACATGGTACTTGCAGCTAGGCAAGAAGCTGATTATGTTTGCTCCACCAAAGTCATATCTCAGGGAGGGCTAGTATCCTCCCCTCACCCTGCCTGTCACTGAAATTGCTCACTCCATTGTGTAATCACAGAGTTTAGTGTGTTTGGGGGAATAAAAGCAACCTCCGTGTAGCATTGCTTTACCAGCAAACACAGTCCCCTGCTTTGCTTATAGTCAGAAGAGCACACTAAGTTGAAATAGAACCAAACCTATGCATTCTCCAAGCCCTCTTCTGGACACCATGAGAAAGTGATATCTGAAGAGAAATTCTATCTTCTAAAGCAAGTTTATGTTGGGGATGGGAGGGAGGCAATAATGAAAATTATGACTAAAGAACACTTGATTTTTTTGTCTGTGTAATCACTCAACAAATTCATCTCTCATCAGGTGTCACTGGAAGAAAAAATAAATTATCAGTCAAAAAACATTAAAAAACCTGCACACACATACACAGACTTGTTTATATGTAATGTTCCAGCATTACAACCCTGATTCTGTCATAGGCAAATTAGGGGAATTCATTTGTACTTTGGTTCATCTGTAGAAGAATAAGAATGCCCAGTTCCAGAATAATTACTGTTCTGCACTGTCCTGCACGTGAAAAGCATTATATAGCACAAATGCAAAACACCGATGTTTCAGCACAGCATGCTTAAGTATGTATGTCTGCAATACCTCAAATGTATATGGATTAAAAATAGTACTTACAGTGGGCAAAGCAACTCCATCTTGTCACAGAGGCACTGAACGTAAACACTGCCAGTCTTTGTACAGCGGTAGCACTCATAGTCTTCCACTGTAGCCATGCCAACCAGAATATCAGCCTGATCAGGAATGGAAGTCAGAGGGGTAGCATCTGTCTCAAGAAGGCTGGAAAAGTCTTCTTTCACTGTGACAGCTGGATGACCTACAGAGCCTTGGCAAGCCTGGATGAAAAACAGCTTGGGTTTGCCAGCAAGAGAAGGACAATTAGATCCACTGAAGCAGGAGAGTAAATCTTTAATATTTATAAGCTCATGATCAACGCCTTTTATTTTGTCTTTTTCACCATGGGAAAAAATGAAGCAAACAAAACAGTCCATGTTACTATGATCTTTTTTGCTGTATTCTTTAACTTTTGCATACATTTGCTTTGCTTCTAGATCCATGTGCTCAACTGTCTCAAACTGAAGCCACTTAAAGACCCTCTTCACAGCCTCTGGGAAAAGAAAGTCAGAAGGCACTTGTTAAGCATAAACAGTGACAAGGAAGATGCTGAAACATCAGTGTCTGTGTGGTAGAACAGATACTAGCAGAAAGGTTCAGATCCCACCAATAATCTCACCTGACTGACTCAGCCTGCCAAATCTAATTAGAAGAACCCAAATGCCTAATTTTATTTTTTTTAAACACAACTGGGCTAAGCATCATGCTATCTAAAAAAAACCCACCAGGTTTCAGATTATCTGATTAACTGGTATAAATTAGTGAAGCTTACTGTGTTAAAGCAATCTTTAACTGTGCATTGCATAGTAATCTCAGATGCTTAAGAACACCACTTAGCAAGTTAAAGAGGAGGTACCTCTTTAGAATGATAAATTCTGCCACTCTTAATGAATTAGGTCCCTCATTCTGTGAGAATGATCAACACAGCAAGAAGGAAGGCAAGGGTAACCTGCTAACAAATCCTATGCAGACGTCTCAGCAAATGCTGACTTAATTGTTGTGTGGGCAATGAGAAAGTAGCTGGGAAGCAAGCAGCCTGTAGACAGGCTGAATGGAGTTAAAATATCAGTGATGTGTGCTTTCATGAAACAGATTTTACTTTTTTAAGATAAACACTTGTTTATCTTGGAAGTGACTCTTACAGGAAGACAGGCTTTAAGGAAAATTATAAAGTAGTAGCATTTATTTGAGCATTAAAGAGAATTTAAAGACTTTAAAATATTACTCCATGATAGCCAAGAATTAAAAACAATCAAAAAGTGAAAAGGTGGAATAGTAATCCCTCCTTCAGTATTTGGTACATATGACCAATTAAGACGATGCTTTTTACCTAGAACAGAAAGCACTTCCTTCTTTAAGCCATCAAATAAACTGTTCAAAGTGGTGTATTTCCAATTTCTACAGTGACTGTCATTCCAGTTACTCTGGAGGCAAAGGACCTCAGTGGACATGATTCTTCTTCACAGGAAAGATTAGATAATTCTTTCAGAGAATTTTCAGAGAAGAAAACAAAACAGTAATGGTATTTAAAAAGTACTTACCTCCATCTTTCACTGTTCCTTCTCTGGCTTCATACGGATTTTTAAAAATGTAGTTATTAAGAATCACACAGTAACCATGGGGGTTATTTTTCATCTTATATGATTCCACAAGCTGTAGAAACAAAGCAGGTAAGAAAGCAGTGCCAAGCATCCAAAAAAGAAATATACTATACACAAGATTGTTGCTCCTTCATGTCCAAGTGCAAAAAAATCATGGGGGCCAAGATACAAGAAAGGAAAAGCCTAAGAATACAAGCTAGCTACTGGGGAGAGGAATCTGCTTTGTCTCCCTGAATCCCTCCTCCTCTCTCGCTGTGATTAGGATATGATTTTGGCATGGGAGAAAGTGAGTATCCAGAAACACAAATGTGCATGTGCAGACAAAAAGTTCCTGCACCCTACCATTCCTTCTGAGAGTCCTTGTGGGTTTCTAGTGAGGTAGCAGATTCTGTTGTTCCTTTCCCATCTGTTCAGGAGTATCTCTCTCCATTATCGTTAAGATTGGTTTTTCTTCACACAACAGCTACTCCTTCATTTCTTGCCTAAAAGGTTGCTGACAGCCAGGTCCTCACAAAGGAACAAGGCTTGGTGTTGTTTTGAAAACAGGAATTGTTCCAAGGCCTATATACAAAGCCAAAACCCCTCCCTTTCAGCTCTTCCACCTGCTTAGTCTTAAGAATTTATGCTCCCCGCTCCCAGGAGCTGGATAAATACTTTAAAGGTAATCTTGACGTATTTCTCACCAGGTGTGGTGTCTCCCCCTCTGCTCCTTGTTCTGCTGTATGCACAGATGCAGACACTGGATAGTGGAGTTTTTCCTTAGAATAATTTTCTAAGACGGAGAAGATAAACAGCACATTTTAGGACTAAAAAGATAAATCTTCCACTGTGCATAGTTCAACACTCAAAAAAACAGTATAAGGAGTGAGGTGGAGGGTGGTTTCCACATCACTGAGACACCATCATTTTGTAGAGCTGGGCCAAGCAGGGTTCCAGTTTCACAAACTGTTGGTTATTGAAGCTGTGCAGAGCTGTGCTCTGTTTCTTCTCTGCTCTTTTATTGGTAGCAAGATCCAGATAATAAAAGGCTGAATGTCAGTAGTCATGCCAGGCAAGCCATTCACTAACATCTCCACTATGGGATACATAAGTGAAGGAGGAGACCCATTTTTGTACAGTGGTACACTACAGCTAGTTCCTTTACTTCTGAGGCCACTGTCTCTTCTCCAGAGAACTTTACTGTTTGGGTGGACACACCAAGCATGCAGAATACCAGCACAATGGAATATCTCCTCAAAGCAACAAAATGGTTCTTTGAATACAACTGCCTGAAATAAGTGAAGAAATCATCAAACCCATGACTCTACCCAAGGAAATAAATCACAGTACCCCTTTTACAAGTTACACAGATGTGTTTAAATGGAATTTAATTGTCAGGGCAACAAGATCTGTAAGACATGCTCTTTTTCTACTTATCAAGGGGGACAAAATCATAAGAATACCACTAAAAAACCATTCCCCTGATACAGGGCTTGCTTCTTTAGAGACAGATCAGCAGCACAAAGATGCTGGGGAAACTAGTTGGTATCTCTGCAAGGAACTGCATGGGCTGTATAGACGTATCTAAGGAAACACATGTCCTGAGTCATCCAGAAGGAGGTTCTGGGGAAAAATTTAATAGGTCTCAGTTGTTGTTGGTTGACACATCCTATCTCCCAAACAGTAAGGCCCAACTGTTGTGTCAGAAGTCACCACTCAGCTGCAACAGCCCAGATATACTGAAGTCCTTGAAATATCAGATCTGGTACAGAAAGCTAATGGTTACGCTTTAGTCAAGTACCTGGTCTCCAGGGACTTTTTCTTTGACTAAGAGCAAACAGCCTGGCTAACAGAAAATAATGCTGACAATCTCCCAATACTAGTTTCCCCAAGGCAACTGTCACTTCCAGTCTCTTTCAGTGCACTGCACTGTTTCCCAAAGAGAAAAATAGCATTTAAGGCAAAGAGGAGGGAGAAGCAGACCATTTACAAGGCACAGAATGTATTCCAAGGAGAGATACAAGAAGGTACGATGGGATAATGAAGTAGCAGAAAACTTCAGAAGCCACATGTACCAAGAGCTGCTCTGCCTATCCTAGGATACTGTAAGGTCTCCCTCTTATCTCTGGACTCCTAAGCTGCCAAGGATGGAGCCACAAAATTCACAAAAACCCCAGCTCTACTCTTAAACAGCAGATTAAATAATTTACCTTTTTTTTTTTCTTCATAGGTATCGATTTTTTTCTTTATGTCAGCTCTAACTCCCTTTAATATATCTTTCAGCATTGCGAGGTCATCTTCTTTAATTATCCCGTTTCTTTCCATTTCCACTAAGACCTTCAACATTGACTGGTAAAACAAAAACACATAACCCAAACTCATACAATGACCTTCAATAACTGCAGCATCAGACACTTCTGGACAAAGCAGAAGACAACATCCTCATTCCCAGAGACTGACCAGCTAAAGACCAGTTTCTTTTTCTTCCAAACCTCATTAAAACAAGGGTCAGGATGCAATGCAACTGAAGAAACACCACTAAGTTTAAGACAGGATCATTAGAAATTGCCTACGGCTAGGTTATCCTGCTTTGTTTCAGCAGTGCAAAGCACTGACGTGGAAAACAACATGGAATCCTCTTGTGCCTCTGTGTTCAGATGAAGTGCTGTTAAGTCATTTAGCTGTGCCATTTTACATTTTCTATTACAGAAAAGGTGTTCAGGGCTACTTTTTTTTTTTAAAGCTCAATAGTCCACCAAGTTGGAGGCAAATCTGCTAATTTCCTATAGGTGCCACAATACAAATAGGACTTTTAAGGAAGCTTCTTAATACCACAAAGAATTTTTATAACACTGTTCATTATTTACAATACAAGTATTAAACTAGCTCATCAAACCTCTTAATATTTGTGGGGGAGTTAACAAAATTTGTGGGGGAGTTACCCCAAATTACAATAAAGAAGAAAACGTACCCAATGACAGACAAAAATTTGTGGTTGAACTTGCATTAGAACTTGATTTTCTGTCTCCGAAACATTGTTTTTCCTCCAGTAAACATCACTCTTCCTAGATACAGCATATGTACAAATGCCTTATAAATGCCAAGCAAAGATGAAAAGAAGAGCATGATGGATATTGCAAAAAGAAAAGATTACGGAGACAGGTGGTGGAGGGAAAATAGGTACAGGAGAGCAAAAAAGAGCAGAGAAAAGACACAGTGAGAAAAAAAAGGGTCCATTCTTTCACACAGCAGCTATCAGCTAACATCACAATCCTTCAACGACAGATTTTAGTGAGAGCAGACTGCTTCCTCTTTCCTCCCTTCTTACAAGAACTAGCAGACTGTGAACTAGCCTTGCAAGAAACTTATCGAGATCACTTTGCATACAGCATTATCCTGGAGTTTGTTCTTTGGTATTTGTTTTTGGAGCAGGAACTTTATGCTCTTGACATCTTCTGGAGTCAAGTCCTCTGCAATTCCATATAGCAGTTGCCTGGCAATAAAGAATAAAGAAATACTGATTAAGAAAGTTATGAGAAGTAACCACCACAATTACACATTTGAACTGCAAAATGTAAAACTCACAATGGCAGGTAATCATGCTGTAATAAATACAAACATCCCAGCATAATTGTAAGACAACAGTGCAGACAGAAAACAAGACGGTACACAACAGAACTGTTGTACATTTTGCATGCAAAGGTTTTACTACTTCTGTGCTTACCTGTAGGCTGACACCTTTGCCCTGCCTGGGATCTGAAGCTCTCTCTCCATCTCCTCTCGGCTGCAGCCCAGCTGTGCAGCCAGGAGGTCCATCCGATTGATCCGGTAGAGCAGCTCCTTCAGGAAAGAGAGGCTCCCCACCTCAATCATGTCCTTCTCCTGCAGCACTTCGAAGAAGGCCTTGGGCTCCTGGATGGCTTCCAGCTTCCTCATGGGGATGTGCTCCAGGCTGAGGAACTTCAGAGCAGCGAGTTCATCTGTGGCCAAAGCCTCAGAAATGTCAAAAAGGAGCTTGTGGAAGTCTGTACTCATTTCACATCAGGATTTGGATCTAAACACAAACAGAAGTTGATTTCATCTGTCAGTAACAGCCGTGCAACAACATGAGTATAAAAGGTATCGCATCATGCAGAATAGTCCAAAATAAATACATGCAATCAAAAGTACTTCAGTAGAGAGAGGCTGTCTTGCTATCATAGCTTTGATGCTTAGCTCTTACAGTTCTCTTAACAAGGAATATAAAAAAACCTCTGTACTAAGTGAAATTGACAGAGAAAGTCACCAATTGTTCTTGCTTCCTATGGTGTGTCTAGACAGCGGGAAGTACTGATCAACTTACAGGATGTACAATCCCAGCAGGCTGCTGCTGTTTTCATTTTGTTTTGGTTTTGCTTTTTTTGAGATTGGATCCCATTTGGGAGCAGGAGCCACTTGCCAGTCTGAAATACAGACTATGTAGTTGTGGTTTAAGCCCAGCCAGTAACAAAGCACCACAAAGCCGCTCGCTCACTCCTCCCCAGCCCCAGTGGGATGAGGAGAAAATAGAAAGAAAAACTTGTGGGCCGAGACAAGGACAGGGAGGCATCACCCACCACTTATGGTCACGGGCAAAAGACAGGCTCAACTTGGGGAAGAAACAAAATCAATTTAATCTACTACAAATCAAATCAAAACAAGGATACTGAGAAGTAAAACCAAACCCTAGAACACCTTCCCCCCATCCCTCCCTCCTTCCTGCCTCAACTCTGCTCCTGATTTCTCTACCTCCTCCCCCTAAGCAGTGCAGGGGGACGGGGAACGGAGGTTGTGGTCAGTTCTCCACACATTGTCTCTGCTGCTCCTTCCTCCTCAGGAGAAGGACTCCTCACTCTTCCCCTCCAGCGTGGGGTCCCTCCCAGGGGCTGCAGTCCTTTGCAAACTTCCCTGGCATGGGTCCTTTCTGCAGGCCGATCTTCAGTCACAGGCTGCTCCAGCACGGGCTTTCCCATGGAGTCACGGCTGTCTTCAGGGGCATCCACCTGCTCCGGCATGGGCTTCTCCACAGCCTGCAAGTGGGCATCTGCTCCCCCACTCACCTCCACGGGCTGCAGGGGCATCCCCTCCTCTGGCGCACCTCCTCCCCCTCCTTCTGCACTGACCTTGGTGTCTGCAGAGGTGTTTCTCTCACATTCCAATCCCCTCACTCGCTGGGGGTTCCCCTTCTTAAATCTGTTCTCCCAGAGGCACTACCACTGTCACTGATGGGCTCGGCCTGGCCAGAGGCGGGTCCGACTTGGAGCTGGGGAAGCTTCCAGCAGCTTCTCACAGGAGCCACCCCTGCAGCCCCTTCCCTGCTACCAAAACCCCACCACACAAACCCAAAACAGTAGTAAATGAGACTGCCAGGTTTTACACCGTGACAAAGATAAAGGTTTTACATCACAACAAAGATAAGAATCCACACGAGTATAACTCTTCTGTCTGGCTTCTTTCTTTATACATTGCTTCTGACCCTGGTCAGCGTAGCCAAAACGCCTCTTCCTGTTTTGGATTGTCTGCATCAAATAAAATTCAGTTCCCAGTTCTCAATCAATTTGTAATATTCAAATCAAATACAGATCATGTCAACCATTTTAAAAAGGCCAGGAGAATTCTTCTCAAACTAGTTCTGTTTCACTGAACATCAGATACCACCTCCCTTCTCCACCACTTCCTCCATTAGCTTCAGAAATATTAAACTTGGCTTATGGATCCAACTTTTGAGCACAAGATAAAGTTAGAAAATACCAAGTGCAAGCCTTCCAACTATCTCACCCTGACACTTAAAAGACCTGCCACCACTGCCTCTCTGGTAAGAGAACCATTTGCCACTTTATTCTCTCTGCCTTAGATCTAAAGACACCTAGGAATCTCTGAAGAGAAACTCTACAGAAATGCATTCAACAGAGGTCTCTTGTCCCATTGAACTCACTGGGAGACAGAAAAGTTGACAACAGCAAATCAGAACTTCCTACTCCTACACTACTGGAATATGAGGCAATCCATTTTAATGTTACTGCTACTGCAAATGTTTCAATACCAGGACTAATAACTCCAAGGTAGCCCAGCCGATTAACTGAATCAGTACTACTGTAAATATTTAAAAAAAAAAATAAAAATTAGCAGACAATTGTACTCCCCTCTCCTCCAAGGACCACTCTACAGCAAAGCAGCTTTTTGTGGCACCCCCTTGGTCAGCACTCTTTAGTTAGCAAGAGTGAACATACAACTGAATCTCTGTCTATCAAAAAAACAGATAAAACACCAAAACATGCATTGTGATGCAGCATATACAATTCATGCTCTGCCCCCAAGTACTGTTTTCTTTAAATCCATTCAAACCAAACTTTGTTTTAAACAGACTAGAATCCATATTGTTCAGCCCATATAACCACAAAACCACTAGTATCTGAATGAATCGTATGTGTTTAACGATTCAGTGATCTCAGATGTGACTGTGTATTTTTATATCCACCAGGAAAGAGGAGTACATTTCCTTGGTAGCTAGTTATGAGTTACCTTCTTTCTCACATAAATCGTGCCTTTTGTTTAAGATACAAGGCATGTGCTTATAAAAGTAAATCTTTCTGGTAAAGGGATTTTCATTTTTATTTCTCAAAGGCTGCAAGTTTCAAACCGCAAAATTACTGCAATTATAACAGATGTGCCACCTACACACTATATTTAATCCTGTCTGTAAATACAGGGAGCACACTAAAACAATGCTTAACTGCTTTGGTCTTTTTCTCCCATTTTACTAAATTAAAGACACAAGTGATACAAAAAGCAAACTGTTTAATAATAATAACAACAACAACTACTTTACATCACCTACACGGCAAGACAAGCTGGAGGACTGCTGGAACAGCTCTGAAAAAAGTGAGACAGCCATAGTCTCTGAAGTTCCAGGAAAAGTACTGCCTTTTGTACTATGGTCTATACTGTCACGTGACTTACAAAAAGTATAACAAAGTAATAAGCTGTGGTCATAATGCAGCAATTCCCTACTCCACCTATCACCGTTCCAGTTTCAGGAAATTATTACAGTGCTTGTGAGAAAATTGGAAAACAAGCCACAAAAGTAACCAGCTTTTGCGTTTGGTTTAAGGGGATACACTAAGCAGCATAGCCAGGACTTTCTAGCATACAGCACAGCTCAATACATTTGCTCCCATTCAGACAAAGACAGTGAGGCAAAGGTGAATCAATTATATCTTCCCATTTAAAAATATCTCAGTCCCACTGTCCTGCTGTGGCACAGGATCCCATGACTTACCTCCTTTCTCTGAAGTCCCTCTCCAACTCACCCTAGCCTATTTTTAACATGCACTTTCATGGAAGATTATTTCCTAAATTAAAAAAAAGTCAACTATCAGCACTGAATTCAGTAGCAGTACTCAGTGAATACTGGGAACTGAAAGGCTACACATTAATTTGAAATTATTTATGTAATATACTTCCCCATTTACAAAACAATTTAAGCAATAATTAACTTTTGGCGTTTTCACCCTCTTTGAAGTATGGAACTCTGCCTTCAATGGTAAAGTTCCCAGTATGATCTGCTGGTTACCAGTATCTTCCTTGCAGCAGGAAACATACAATCAGCAATCAGTACAGCTACCAGACTCTCTGAAGCTTGTGAAGTCAGCATTATGAAGAGAGAAAGGAGAGCTCAAATTTATCAATATTTTGCAATGAAAGCAATCATTCATTGATTCCAACCCACCTACCTTTATAAACTCAAAATTATAACATAACCTTTGATAGAATGAGGCATACAAATTCATTCCAAAAGGCACACGCTAGCAACAGTTCAGAAAATGTGTCTGACTTACTTTACTGGCAAGAGTTGTCCTTTTATCCAAAGGCTGGGGGCAGAACAGAGACACACCACAAGCACTATCTGATCTTCAGGTCCAAAATGGTTCTGTCTCCATGTCATCCCATGCCTGAGTGTCTCTCTCCCTGCATCAGTTCCTCTGCGTCTGAACTGAATCGAGACTTCAGTTGCAGTTTGAAAGAGGAAGCATGCTGTGTTCAGCACTGTGTGAAAAATATTTGCGGACAAGACCAAGCCCAGGTTGGCACTTTCCAGATAGAGGCTTCTCCCATCATGCAGCAGTTTCAAGGACCAGCCCTCCTCCTACTGTTCTTCCTCTTTGTCTTTACTGTTTCACTTCTTACTTCTCCTTCTCTTGCCCTTCCCCAAAACGTTCCTGTCCTTTTGTTATCTTACAGTGTCTCCAATTTCCCTCAGTTCCCCTGCACCCTGGTTTTGTCCCTCTGACTTCCTCTAGAACTGTCCCAGTGACCCAACCTATTCCTTGTGCAGTAGCCTGCCAAAAATTCATCTCTCCCAGAAAGGCTGGTCTTGAGGAAGCAAAAACGCTGAGGCTACTGACTACTCAGAAACTGTAGTGACTGTGGCCTCTACTGGCATAAGGCAGGATACACAGCTCCTGCACAAAAACTGACAGTCAGGAGGTACGGGATACCAGAGACTTGTGGATGTTACAAATCCCACTTTAAGATCATGATCTTCCCAAGCTACCAACTTCCCCAACAGACAGACTCTTTTTACACTAGTTCCACTTAAATCTGTCCAAACAAGGGTTGCACAACTCACAACCCTTCTTTAATTCTGTAGGTGGAGAGCATGCACATGTGCGTTATGCTTCTGTATGCCATCAGTAAGGCTCAACAGAAACCAACCACATTTTTTTGTTTTCTTGTTTTAGGCCGATTTCTTTCTGGCACAGCTCTGTACTACTAGAGTTACACTGAAGGTGTACAGTGTGGACAGCAAGGAGCGATGAATATATATCATCATAAAAACCACCCACTCTTCCCCAAGACTTTCAAACTGCTATCTTACACTGCAGGAGATCACTCGGAAACGTCCAATGACCGTGCTGAATGGCAGCTGCAGTTATAGTGCTAAGCCTACCCTGCCTTTGGGCTTGTGCTGATGGAGTACCACTGCATGCACCCAAGTATTAGAATGTGCAGCCATATAAACACAACCCTCCACATACACAAGCAAAATATTCACACTGAGTAGTATAAATCATGGTAGTGTAAACTGTGTTTGAACAAACCTTCTTATGAGTGAGAGAGACTTTACCAGTCTTTTATACTTCACAAGTGTGGATCCCTCTCCCTAGGGAACTCAAGGCAGAAGTCAGTTTAGACTCTTCTGACTGTGATACCCTCCTGTGATTTAACTGGAGATTACCCAGGCAGAAGTCTCTACAGACAACGCAACATAACATGATTATGTTCTCTGTCTACCAAACTCAAACATGAAAACAAGATCCCACAAAACAAGGTCAAAATTGTTGTGTTTGCTCCGTACTGATAAAAATTCAATTGTTACCTAAACATACAAAACAAGAGTGCGCCAAGTCTGAACAGTAATTGCGAGCCAGAAACTTCATGATTCCATTACAACACGTTATATATTCTACTAACAGACAAAACATTTTCTATCTGTGGCACAAAAGTGATTTCAAGTGTGGCAGCCATACTAACTCAGAACACTCAAAATGCAATGGGTCACACAACTATCAATTCATCATGATAAAAAGTGACCATTATGTTTTGGCAAACTGGCTGCATTTCAATGCTCTGTACGATGCAAAACTACCCTCCTAGAAATCCTGGATAGTGTAAGCTAAAAATTGCATCCAACAGCACTAGACAGTACTCTTTCAAATCTTCACCCTAACTTATGGCTCATAATAATATGTAACAATCAGTGTTTTGCTGAAATAAACTAAGTTTCACTTCAGCTTAAACCCTGAGGCAGATAAAACCCCACTGATTCGTGCAGTCCAAAAAAGTGCAGGGGCCACTCAGAAACAAGGATAAGCCTTACCCCAGTACACAATTTTTATCTCACCAAGCTCTTAAAAAGAAGCATGAATTTAATGCAGTAACAAACAGGAAGGACACAGACATATGTAGTAAATGCTCATAGCAAAACAACATGACATTATTTCAATTAACTCACAGAATGCTTTGTTAGAAGATTAATCAACAAGGAGCATGGCTTCTCATGTGGCTGCATTTTAGATCTTAAAACAAGAAACGATAATCAGAAAATTTAATGCTTACAAAGTTAATCAATCTGATAAACCTATACAGATAGACTCCTGAATGCATATCTCATAGCGTGCAAATCTTCTACCCTTTCTTCCCAGAAGTGATGGGGAAATGACAGTTCACAAGGTTTCACAGAGGGAATACTACACAGCATTTTGGCTCTACTCAGTTTTGGAAAGACCTCATTGTACAGGAGGTTTATGTTAACCATTAGACGGTATCAGTGTGCACTGTGGAACAAATTACTGATTTCAACAGTTAACTGGTTCTCCATTAAGTTAAATATAATTTAAATTAGAGCTGGAAGAAATCCTTTTCCACTTACTACTTAAGCTTTCTCCTCTTCCATTCCCACCTTTGTCTTTCTCTGTGAACATAGCTAGTGGATTTAGAGGCAGGATTTAAAATTGTTAGCCTGCAAAATAAAACTTGATGAGCCTAAACCAGACCATTAACAATCCTGGTTTAGATATGGAAGGCTACATGCAATCCTTATATCATCAGAAAAACACTTTTATATCTGTGGTCTGTGCAGGTACAAAAACGTTTAACATGATAGAAGCATGCTTCCCCCAACCCTGATAACTCTGAATATATAGATGATGTAAATAGCTGGCACATGGATTGCTTTAATTGCATCTCCTCCAGTTTCACAGTTCGTTTGGCAAAAAATTTTGAGGCCTTGCCTTGAAGCTAACAGTTCCTCAGGACTCTGGGTAACTGCTTTAAAACAGGTCGTGTGGTGAATTGCATTTAAATGAGGTGGGCTGATAAAAGGATGTATTTTAAAAGCCTCAATGTTGCTGTGAAGGAGGAGGGTCTCTAGGTATTGGGAATATAAATTTTCTTCTTAAGGTATATGCTGGTTGGGGCATCTGCTTCTTTGTCCCCAAGCGGTCAACACGTCTCCCCACGTCTTCATTAACTTCTGTAAGAATCGACAAAATATCTTCACCCCTACGGTCAGAAGGAGAGCAAAAATAAAAAAATTACTTATTAATGAGCAGATAGCACTCCATTTAACACCTCCCAGATCATCTAGAAGACACCGTACAAACATTTAAAACACAAAACCCACATCCTTTTCTCCAACTTTCTCCTCTTCTGTTCTCATTTGAGTCATATTAAAAGAAAAGACCTTTTCTTACTCTGTCTTACTTGATTCAACCAGTAAAGAAAAATAATGGAATAAAATATTTTTTATCTAAATCCAATCAAGAAACAGATGGCTCTGCCTTAAAGAATATAATGGGAAGTTTTGAGATTTTTACAGTAAACTTCATTTTCTTCACATTATCTCTAAGGTACTAGCAGTGTTAATGTAAATTTATCAGTGGCAAGCAAGCAAATCATCAGCTTAACTAATTTTGTCCACCTCAAAACACGGGTTAGTGTTCTTGTGTGAATTTGCCTTTGGAGAAAAAAAAAGGGGAAGTTCCTCCCATTTTTTCATGAAGAGCTAAGCAAATTATTTACCTTGGGACCAACAACTGTAGCTTGCTGCACAGGGCCTGAATATACCAAGCACCCTGTTGAATGTGCCGGAAAGAGACATATCCGTCAATTGTGGCCATGCCTAGGAGGAAATCAGCCTCTTCAGGAATACTTTCAGAAGGAGAAATGCTCTGTTGCATGGAAGACAAATCAGGAATTCGTGCATCAGCTTCAACATAGACAGGACACTGTATCTCTTTACCCTGGCATGCTTGGATAAAGAAGAGTTTGGGTTTTTCAGCCAGCTGTGGACATTGTTTGGCAGTGAAGTGGGACATGATCATGCGGATTGACACAAGTTCCTCGTCCTTCCCATAGATCGCTCCTGACTCTCCATGAGATAGAATACAACATATAAAACAGTCCCTGTCTTTGTGATCTTGCAAACGCTGCCAAGTTCGCATGAGATCTTTAATCTCCTGAGACGTCAGATCTGTGTAAGTCCTGACATCCAGACCAAGCCATGTGAATACTCGTTCCAGTTCCCCTGTAATTATAAGAAAGATAAAAGGAAAAATTGAGGCAACAGAAAACCATTTTATGAAGTCACTATGCAAGCTAATCTGAACCGAGAAAGACCTTACACCCTGACACTTCTGCAGATTCATCCTTTTACTAGTTATCAACTAAAGGTTAACTGGAATAAAAAAAGATGGCATCAGCTCTCACAGAGTTCCTGGATTGTTCTAGACAAGTTTCAGAACATACAATGACATTTTGCAATGTATAATGACATACTAAGTGAGCTCACAAATGACACTTGAAAATATGAGGAATATCCCCCCCCAGTTTCAGATTAGATCTTTCAAAACCTTCCTCACATCATTATTTTCCAGTTGCAGTTTTGACTATAAGAGCTTCATACACAAGAGGTAAGTAGAATGAACAGAAGAAAATAAGTATGCACAGTGTTACTTGATTATGGAATTTTGCATTACATTACGGAGAATGATGGCTTAGTTTAGTTTTAGTTCTTTATTATAGCTATAGATAAAGGTTAAGCAAAAAGAGATTCTTAATATGATTCTAGAATGATCCACCTGCATCAGAAACTCAGTGGTTACTCATCCTTTAACCCTTCCTCCCCAAGGATACACAAATAACATAATGTAACACATATCAAACATTTTACTCTTTAAGAATATTTACTAACTGAAATATAGACAATAAAATACAGAGCAATAGTGGACAATCAATTCAGATGGTGAAACAGAGAGACTAATCCTCCAAAAATCTCATTTCATTAACTTACCAGCATCTTTGCAAGAACCCTTCCTCTCCTGAAGAGACTTATCGAAGTTAACATTATTAATAACAAGACAAAATCCTCTGTGTGGTCCATCCATTTTGTAGCTTGTCATCTTCTGTAGAAAGAGAGGAAAAAAGCTTACGGCCTCAATGAATTTATTCAACTTAGTCGTATTTCCTTAACATGTCTGAAAACCAGCATCCAAAAATGAGAGGCACCTAAGATGGTGGGTTACTTTCGAAAAGCTGGAACTCAATGGTGCCTTCTTGTGTGAAAAGACATGGGTGAAGCCTCAAGCACACTCTGTCACCATACTATCAAGCTGTAGAGGAAGGGTTTAGCAGCTGAGTTGGTCATCTGTGTGCAAAAGGGAGGATTCAGCAGCCAAACTCCGCAATATGAATTGGTGATGGGGACAGAAGTCCTCAACTGTTTCGAATATCACGACAATATTTTAACTTCAGATGGCAGAGGGTTCACAGTTGGAACTATAGGATATTAGACATCTGAGTTGTTTTTTTCAAGAGTAGTGATGAATACCTGGAGCATGTAGCTCATACTGATCCACTGGAAAGGGATGCAAGCAGAACAGAGATCTCAGAAGTGCATAAACCTACCACACTACCAGTTTTGCTAAGACTTAAAAGTTACCTCCCACTGTTAAGAAAGAACGTTTTAAAAACTGAAAAGTCACCAAAACTTCCAAGTACCATCTCTTCAAGTCCAACCTCAGGTTGAAATAAAAAACTCCCACCACTCCAATTCCTTTCTGCTCACTAGAGAGAGCAACACACCTGCTTTTGTACATTTTAGTGGAACAAAATGAAGGCAGCACTCCAAGCTCCTTAAACAGCAGCAAGTACTTTTGCTACAGCAGTCTGAACATCAGGTGATGAAGAGATATATTATAGCACAGAACTTCAAGAAATTAAATAGCTATAAACAAATGCAGCAACTGGCTCCCTCAATATCCATGCTCATCAGAAGGAAAAATCCAGAGGGAGAATTCTGTGGTTACACTGCTGTACAAGGTTAAAGAGTGCACATAAGGCTTCTAAGAAGGATCTCACAAAAGGGATCTTTCCTCCTGTATCAAGACCTCTGGTTTATTGAGGAAGATTGTTACATGCCTGCAACAGCTCACTAAAAACTCTTGCCTTCTTTTATCCTTCTCACAAGGTCTTTGCATGTTACCCCTTATTGCTTTTAATTTCAAGATGCCCTGAAGCTTTGTCTAAGCCAGATCCAGAAAGAGAACTGTGAAGACATGTTTGTCTCCGTGTCTTGCACGTTTTGCTGCTATCTCCAGAATGCACAACTTAAGAAAATGTCAAACGTTTTGCCTGTATCACAAAGATAAGCAGATGCACTGATGTGTGGATAACGTCAAAGGTATTATGCCTGTTTTGCCTCCACCACACCTTTCAATATGGGTAAGTGTCTGGCCTCTGAGGTTAAAATATTCTCTGAAATGTTCCAGTTGATCAGACAACTCAAAAAACTTCGTGAGACACACAGACATCTCATATGTCCTTGCACGATAAATGTCATCACGGGGATGAAGACCTCACATACCCAGGTACTCAAAAAGAAGGATTTAAGAGATTGTCTCAAACCTTGGATTCATTTTCTACATTGCTGAATTCTCCAGGCAGCTCCAGGTTCATATCAGAGAAGCCTTGTGTAAGATTAGCTGCTTTGTTATCTAGGAAAAAAACCCAAACAGCATAGATATTTATGAAGAGAAATCCAATATTGGTGGATGTATCAAAAAGGAGTTTAGCTACAATACAGCACTTTTTGTATTTGAAATATTGTTTCATTGAAAAGAATGAATCCTCTGTATGAGATAGCACTGTCATGTTCAAAGGATCTATTCTGAACATGTCGCCAGTAATTTTTATTATATATATTTTTGTGACAAAGGCAAGGTTTCCATTTGTATTGGTATTGCGGAACAAAGATGTCCACGGTACAAGGACAGATTCTACCTGAGACATTCAAATGAATTTTTCATTTGGAAATCAGTTTAGAAATAAACTGTATTGTAAGAAGGATCTGCAATGTTACCACTGAAGCTCCCATTACAGACTTTTTTTTTTGTTCCTGAATCACCAACAACTCTGACTGACTTTCAGAGCAAGGCTGCATTGACAGAGCTTGAAAGTAGAAAAGAGCTGATAGATGTTGTACTGCTATACTTTGCAACTGGTCTATTTGAATTTGGAGTCACAAAGATGGATGCAAACTACGCACTGTTATTTGTACAGAATCTTTTAAGAGATCTGATCCAAAATGTAACTTTATTTATTGCTGCTTTATTTACTTCTCCTTCTGAATGTCTTAAAACACTTGTCTTCTTTTGTACAAATCATACACTATTTAATGCATTCAAAACATCCATCTCTACCATGCAACACTCTCAGGCTCTTAAACATAACAATCCATATGGCAAAAGAAGTCAGAGGTAAAATCTGCACCCAAAACCCTAGCATCTCAGCTTTATAAACAGTCATAGTGTCTCATTCTCTTGTCCTCCCAGGGTTATTTAAACAGAAAACTTGTTATTTTGTTTTCAGGAAAGAAATCACCTTTTTGCTTCTAATCAGACCAGCCCTTATTTCACTTCCCAGAAAGCACATTAGTTAGTCTCTAGCAAATGACTGACAATGTACACAGGATTTGCCAATTTTCTCTTGTTTCTTTTATATAAGAACAGAAATCCTTCAAATCTATTTGTGCAGAAAGCAAAAGACCCTTCCAAGAAGACAGCAAGGCTAAGTGTGTTGTTGCATTAAATGAAATGCTAGAAATTTCCCAGAGAAAGTAAAGGAATGCATCATCAAACATAAAGGTAATAAAAATGAAACATATTTTCAGAAATACTTACCATTGATATTAGAACCAACAGATTTGATTGAGGTCTCCTGTTTTTTTGAGTGGGGGGAATACCATGTTAAAAAATCATTATTATATATAATAAGTTTTCATAGTGATTTTAGCAAAATATGCTTAACACAAAGCTCTTTAAGTAGTGAATAGTAAAAATACTGAATTTCTAAGAGCAGCAAAGCATTTAATAATGAAATTACAAAAGACTTCCCTACTTACAGCAAATCTCACAGAGCTGGAAACAACTATATTTTCTCTTAAGGATAAAGGGAAACAGCAACGAATTTTCTTTCACTTCCAAATGATCCTCTCACTACAGGGGTAGGTGGTCACTATAAACAAAGCATCAATTCTCTTGGATAGTCAATTATTTGAGTATAAATCGTTATAACTAGTGATTCTAGTACCGCCTAAGACATATCTTCTAGCAGTAAGTGTCAATGATTTATTATACAGCATGGAAAAAGTGTACAACCTCTCATCATTTTAAAGAAAAATGAAACATGATCATCAGGATTATGGAAACAGTCTCTTAGTCTGTTTTTCAAATTATTTTAAATTCATGTTTTCTTAATAAAACTACATTCATTTTCTTACTGTGCCAAGTGCCATGCATGAAGGCTTCCCCAAACCCTCTGCACATGTAGAGCAAATATAGCTCAAACCAGCAGTAATGCATACCCTTCTGATACTAAATAGCTCATTTTCCTCAGCTCTTGTCTACTAGAACTTCACTTTTGGGAAGTATCCTTAGAAAGATCACTGGTTTTCCTCATTCAGAACTGGGTTAAAACTCCCTCCCTTCCTCTCCCCCCAAAAAGAGATCAGTTCTAGCCCTGATAAGTTTCCCAATCTGATTCATCATGCAGCTGCAGAAGGGGTTTAACTGATGAAGGACAGGTACATTGAGGACATGGGACCACCTCCTTTAGCAGCAGCAGTTTGAACAGATAATCAAAATACAATGTTAGCCTTTAGAGATAGTTCAGTGTTGATCAGCCGAAACTTTAAAAATCAGTACCAACTGACTAACCCATTCTCTATAAGGAACGTGTCTAGCTTTTTCTCTCTCTCATCTCTCTTCCTAACATTAATTTTTTCCCCAATTCCATATGACTGACAGTAGTATTTTTGACGTCCACTGTTTGGTACTATATGCAGCTGTATTTCTTACGTGTTGAATAAATACGCTTGTTCCCTTCCAAAACCAAGTAAGAAGATTTAGTGAAAAATCTCACAGCCAGTATGGTTTCAAAATAAAGGCAAGAAAAAAACCCAGCCCCCCCAAACCACTAAAACCCAGGTTGGCAGTATGTACTCCAGTGTACCTGTGGGGAAGTGAATACTCTGAAGTCTCCAGTGTGAGACAGTGAAGATTCCTTGACGGGCAGAGTGTTCTCCTGCTGAGGGAAAGACACTAAGCAGAAAGAGACAAAGTGAGAGAAGCCAAGTGCCTTTTAGTTAAACCAGTATGAATCTGCACATTAGGCAAATGCAGATCTATACTTACTGGAAGATACATTAAAATAGAAAGCAACTTTGAAACACACTCAGAAAGCATGGGGGAATGGAACTCGTGAAACGCTGAGTGCCCTTGCACCTACTGGGGAGATGTAGCTTTGTACTTCCCAGAATTTGTTCCCCAGTGCTTAAATAAATGGAAATAGAACTTCCCAGTATGCTTATAGTCACTCCACAGGACGTTAAATGAACGAATACTACAAACTGCAGTATAACTCCCTGATAATGTGAAACACACATTTATTAACAAAGCCTACCACGTATCAGACACACATGCACACACACTTTGCCTTCCCAGCTTACTAGCAGGCAACTGCTTTGTTGTAGTGTACATTCATAAATCACAAAGTGCCTTTTACAGACAGTCATCATCATCTCAATGATGGGGAAATGGAGAAGCGTGACATAACTATAAGTAGAATTTCAGTTTCCCAGCCTGTTCTGTATGTGCTGGACTGCTCTGTGTGGCCTCAGATATTCCAGCATGTCCCTGCTGGAATTCAGCTAGGAAGTAATGCAAGACAGGAACTGTTATGCCAAATCTGTGTGTGAAGATGAGCAATCCCACTCTAGCTCCTGTTCCAGCAATGCACACAGAGGACCCCAAGGTTCAGTTGCCCAGATCCTTCTAGTGCTTCCTGCGTTTTAGCACACCTACTCCCTGACTCCGAATTTCTCACCTTTTGCCCTTTTGTAGCAGTTTACTGTTTCCAGGAGATCAGGTGAAACATTCATACAGACTTCCTCCAGCAACTGTACATTGTTTTCAGTTAAAAGGCCCTGTTTTTCCAATAAAATCAGCAATTCCAGAGCAGACTGACAGCCAAAAGGAAAAAGTAAAATATAGTTATTGTTCCTTAGACTTCAAAACCTGCCTCAACCTTGTCTGCCTCAAACAATCACATTATTATCTGCTTTTCTTCCTACCAACAAAGTCCAAACAGTCAATTTTACATCACTGTGGGAGGTGAAATTATGCTCCATGGAAAGCTACTGGTTCTGTTATTATTTGGTATGGTCTTGTTTAAACAGATCCACCCAAACCATATTAATGACTCTTGGCTTCGAGAAGGCTTTATTGCTGTGAAACGGTACCAACAATACATGGACATCAATCTCCTTAGCACATGGCTCAAGCAGGGCAAAGATTTGATTTGTCACCCTTTTATGATCTAATGCAAGACTATGGACTGTCAGTGATTGACCTTGGCACAAAGCACCAAATTCCACGCTTACCTGTCAACAGCTTCCTCCTTGCTAATCCCATAAATACTGACCAGCCTAGTTGCAGATTATCCCCTATTCTGCCAAATACTTTTCTCTTCACGCTTTTCCTCCTATTCCCCTCCTACCCCTTCTTCCCTTCCCACCATATACACATTTGGCTCTCTCCTCACATACAAGAGGTATCCGTCGCTTTGGAAGACAGTTTTGCAGGAGGAATACAATATCCTTCAACATCTCATTGGTAATGTTTTCTGACAATTCATACAGCATCTGCCTGTAACAGAGATCCAGTAAGATACAAGCAGAACAGAAGACAGTGCAAAAACGAAAAGCAATCTGAGAATTAAAAAATGGAAAGGGAAATAGTATGGCATAGATGGCAGTAATGGAGAGAAGAGAATCCCACTGCAAACTTACCTGTATGGAGATACCCTTGCCTTCTCATGCAGACATTCTTGCACTTTCTCCTTGGTATAACCAAGTTTCTTGAGCAAGGAGTGACATTTAATTCTATATAAGAGTTCAGCTAGTAGGAAAGTATCTTCCTCATTCAGATATTCTTCAGCCATGAGAAGCTGAAAGATGTCCACTGCTGACTTCACGCTTTCTAGTTTTCTGAAGGGGAGCAAGTCAGTACAGAGAAATTTTAAAGCTGCTACATCTTCAGCCACCAGATTTTCATCAATGAGCAGAAGCTGCTGACGGAACTTCAAGCTGACATCAGCCTCCATGTTGCTGGAACCAACAGACTCTGCCGGAAAGTAGAAAGCAAACACTAGTAACACCTGAATCTTCAATACAACCAATGCTTGTAACAAGATTTCATGCAACAGCTGTTTGGAAGCCCTTAATTCTCTGCAGAAGATAAGTTTCCTTTTAAATTTGAAACTTACTTCCTTCTCCAAACACAAGACTACAACAAAGACCAGATTTCACAGAAGCTCTGAACAACCCAGTCTAAATTTGAAGTTAGGCCTGCTCTGAGCAGAAAACTGGGCTAGATGACTTCAGGAGGTCCTTAAGTTCTTCTATTTCTTTCAAACATCTTCCACATTCAGCTCTCTGCTTCTATCCACTGTTTGTAGGTGGGAATAGTTCCTGCAATAACTTACTACAACTTTCAGTGGAGAGAGAACAGTGGTTCACACACATTCCTTGATCTGCAGTCCGAGGGCTCATTCTTCTGTAGCTGTAGTAGGTAGGTGTTCCTCTGTTACAAGCCTGACACCCAAGCTGAATGAAGCTATGAAATATCCACCCACCCCCAGTCATATCTTGCTACCAGGCTGTATTTCACATTTGGCACAGGAAACCCCTAAAGCCTCCCTTACAAGTAAATGTCAACCAAATGTAATAGCGTTCAGTCTAAATAAGCTCTGTGCAAGCAACTCAATTTTACCGAAGTTTAACAGAGACTAATCACCCTTCCTACACCAACTTCTGTGTAGCCCAGGCAGTTCTTTTTCTGCCGGTGGAAGGTTATATAGGTAAAAAGGTGCTTCAGTGTTTTCTGCCCAAATGGGCAGGTAGGTCTTTCATCTTTTGTTAAAGCAGCTGGAAGCAGCAAAGCTTTCTACATAAGGGAGCGCAAGAAAAAATCAGGGAAGCAGAGTAGGGACAGGACCTCTGAATCTGAAGCCTTTGAAGCATCTGGGAGGACAGCTCAGCAGATGAACCAGAGAGGATATCATAGCATGTGGGGGCACAGAGACTGTTGCATTTTTGTGTTCAGTGGCAGATAGAAAATGTAATCCCCAAGTCCAGATGCCCAGTTAGGAAATTATGTTTGACAGAACCCAGGAATCCTGAATCGTGTTCTGTCCCTAAGTCACAAGTCAGAGCCTGTGCAAAAAAGAAAGTCAGATTGCTTCTTCCTGTATTCAAACTTGCTCTCCCATAGCTCAATAACTGTTCTTCACATTCCTTATCTCCTCATAGGAAATCCCATGTGTTGTGACATCCTCCTCACTTAAGCTATCAAAAAGGTTCAGATCTCAGCCAGTTATCTATCTACACACAGAAATTATATCACTTCACAGTAACTCAGACTTTAAATTCATTTAGCTAAAAGCTACTTTAAAATCCTATCTAGATGCTTTAATCAACTAAATTTAGAAGAATAAATTAAGTTAAACTGATTCCTGCCTAACCTAACAAGTCTGTATAATCCAGGTTCAAACTGAATTATGACAATTCAGAATTTAGAGCAAATGACTTCAACTAAATGAGTTGAAAATTCATGGCTTTGAGAGAACACGCGCAAGTTGTGTGTACACCAGGTGTACGTTGTCATTTCATAAGCAAATCAAACTGAAGCAAAATCCAGCACAAATTCCTTCATCTACCTTTAAAATAGTTTTCAAGTCTGTGTTGCTGCCATTCTTGGAAAGCTTTTTTCATTCCGAAGATTTCCTGCTTGAGTTTGAAATACACTCAAGACCTCTCAACGCGTGCTGCATTTGTCAGCTGTCTGGAAACTCTCTTCCCCACCTCTGTACTGTGGGCAGGCTGGGCTGGCCCTCTCTCCCAGCACTGCAATGAAAGGAAATACTGCCGGCTCACTGCCTGCTCATCCACTGCTCGGCTTACTGCTACGGTGTTTTTAGAACGCTCTACTACTTCAAGCATTTTACAGGCCATTTATTAAACGTCATGGTAAAAACCCAGAGTCCTAAGGCAAAGAAGGAAAAGGAGCAAATAATCCCTATTCCAGTAAAACAAGATGGTGCTAAACACCCAGCCTACCACACACGCGGCCCAGGACCTACCTGCTCCACAGGTTTGCCGCGGCTCACGCTAACGTTTACAGCTACAGCTAGCAGGACACTAGCAGGCAGAACATCGACTCACGGAAAAGTGATGGATCAGCGCCTCTAATGTTATGTTTTGCCATAAACTCTCAGAGAAGGAAAAGCACATAAAACAAGAAACGAGGATTAACAGATTACTATTTTTTCCATTAAGGTTTTACTGACTGGGGCACTACCAGACTGAAAGATTTCAGAATAATACAAAACCACGGAGCACAAGGGAACACCGAGGCTCAGCCTACAGCGCCACAAGCAAAGGCAGCGTTCACCTCCGGCCCCGCGGGCAGCCCGGAACCAGCTGCACAATACAGGAAGGAAAGAGCGGGCTGTAGGCTCCGGACTCGGGAGCTAAACCCTTCGTTCCCTCTCCAGTTCAGACCCTGCCTTCTTACCTTACATGAATTCCGACCCCGTCGCCTCTCCCGGCAGCTGCTCCGGGGGCGGCGCTCAGCGCTTCCCGCTTTATTTTCCCGTCAGCCGCAAGCCGGCGGTGCGTGCCCAACTGCTGAGTCACGACGCCGGGCCTCCCTGCGGGGATGCCGAAGCCGGGAACGGCCGCGCTGCCAGCCGGAGGCCGTGCAGGAAGGAGGCGGCATCCCCAGCAGCGGGGGCGGAAAGCGGGACAAAGTCGATCTAGGGGAAGGAGTTGGGGGCACCTCCGCGGAGCGCGACGCCGCCGCTGCCAAGGCGCGGGCGGGCTCCTACGAAGCGCGGCGGCGCCCCGCGGGGATCGGCCGAGCGCCGGGCAGCGGTGGCGCGGAGCCGCCCTTCCCCTCCGGCCGAGCCCGGGCCGGGGCCCGCCCAGCACTCGGCCTCAGGGCTTCTGAACCTCCTACCCGTCCCCCCCGGCCGAGGAACTTCACTAGATAGAAAAAAACGAGCGACAACACTTCCACGACGAAACACACGAAGTGACCGGCGACGCTCTTCGCTTTTGCTGTCAAGTCATTTTAAAGCAGGCTACACTACAAAAAAACCTCGAACACTTGTGGCAGATTTTTTTCACCCACGAGAAGCTTCGGAGTACTGCTTGTGGGAGAGGGCTTCAATGCCGTTTTATGGGGGTCTGTCCCCTCCACACCCCTGCTGCAGTAAGGGGAGAAGGAGGAAGGTGAGCAGGCCCTGCCCAGTGCAGGCTGCTCAGGGTTTGCAGTATCTCCAGTAACACCTATATCCCCCCCCACGCCCTGGGGTCCGTGGAGCCAGAATGGGAAGAGTCTCCTTGCTCATGCCGAAGAGCTGCTTGTCCAACACACAAACAATGGCCACGTTACCTGTTGAAACTAAAAGGCTCGCTGTCCTTTGTTGAGCCAGCTCACTTTAAACAGAGCTGTAGAACTTCACTGCTGAATTTAACAAGGTCTTGTAGAGGTCTGCAAGATGAGTCGACCAAGAATTTCAAAAGTTATTCTGTGGTCTAGAGGGAAACCGGGACAATTAATCGGACTGCATGCAGATATTTTCTTCAGAAAATCAGCTTGAAATCTAGCATTTAGAATTTAGCAGTAATAGTAATTTAGTAGTAGTAGTAACAGCACCAATTTTACTAAATAATGATGCTATTTTAGTGATGGCACCAATTCAAATCACATTTCTTACCATGTTTCTACAAAACACTAACAACACACTCTCAGAGTAACACAAATTTTAAAATATGGCATGTACAGGAAGACACAATCCACAAAACTAGAATTCTGAAAAGACTTGCAATGTCTTATTGCTTCTAATACAGAAGCTGAAAAAAAAAGACATTCTCCAAAACAGCCACAGAAAAGCTGTCAAATAATTCAGTACAGGAGATACAGTTTTAAGTGGAACACAGATACAGAGCAGATCATCCACGCAGATGGCAGCTTCTTCTCAGCAACATCATCCTGCATGTCAGAAATAAAAAACTCTGGATATCAGAAAACAACTCTCAGAAACTGTCATAAAAAGCTTCTCTGACTCAGGTACCTGTAACAGGAACAGGAGTCACTGTTACTTCTTACACAGAGTTGAAAGGGGAGATCAGACATACGGCATGCTCATTTACAACTGTTAGCACTGTAAGTTCCTCTTGAATGTAACTTCTTTTCTGGATAAGGAGTTGGCAATCATTGTAAGACACAAGTATGCAACAGTGCAAAGTAAACTGGATTTATGACTCAGTCATGTCAATGTAGGTGGCTGAGAAAAATCATGCAACTTAAGTCTGGTGCAAAACACCACCATCTCCTGCCTCATGGGTATGCCTTCCGAGCCACTGAAAGGCATCATCTATATTCTGCCAGTTCTCCTTTCCCTCTTCCATATATACAGCACACACAAAAGTACAAGTAATTTCTATTTCAGTTATTGGAAAGCAAAACTGAAATTCAGTGCCATGGTGCAGTGAGTCTGACAGCGTTGTTCCAAGCACTGACAACACAGGAGCAGAGAAGAGCGGCTTGTTTTATCTTGTTCAACAGCAGGTTCTGAAAACTAGACATTTTGGCAGTCCGTGACCATGAAATTTCACCAGCATGTCACTTTTTATGTTCCTGTGCTAACACCCTAAACTCATGATGAATCCAGAATTAATTCTTTTCCCTCTTTTCTTTTGGCTACTCTATGGAAGTTTGACATCATTCAACCACTCTATCTGCAATACATGTACAATTTGATGCAGCCCACGCCGTGCATCCAGTCACTTTCCAGACTCAAATTTTAGGTGCATAGTACAGCAGCAACAGACAGTCCCTATCACATGTACAGAGGGACACAAAAAGCTATGGGAGAAGCGACAGACAACTTCTGGCATCACAAAACTCCTGCATGTTAATAAATTCTGACTTCAGTGCCGCTTTTCACCATGCAGTGAGTACAGGCAATCAATCTACCCACGTGCCACTCTTGAAAGAGGTGTCAAGGCAGTAAATACTGCTTAGATGAATGATTACAAAATGAATACTGCTCTGGTTTAAGAATCTATGGAGGGTCAAGACATCAGTGTGGAAAATCAGTATCTGACATCCATGAATGCTGCACAATATATTAAATGTCCCCACAATTCTTTGGTCATTAGAGGGCTGTCATCACTTCCGACCCAAGCAGCCAGACACAAAGACACTCTCTTCCTTTTTCACTGCAAGAGGTATTTACAGGAGCCTCTACAGTTTTCAAAACAGTGTTTCTTTGTAATTTCTTAAGGAAGGGGACATGGACTTTACTTACTGTGTCATACATTAAGGTGAAGAAAACGTACACGTCATAACCCCCAAACCAAACCTACATTGTCACAAAACTATCAAAAAAAGAATACATTCTATTCCTAATATTTTAAGTAAATAGTTGTATTTAGCGTTACTGAAAAAAACCCAAAACAACCAACCCACAAAAATCTACCACATCATTAGATCCTGTAAGGATAGCCACTATTATTCTTACTTCCTTTCTCCCTTTTCTCCTGTTTTCTTCTTTCTCCTTCCAATATTGATGCTGTATTTCTCCTCCAAATCTTCTTTCCCCTACTTGTTCTTCTCTTGGTTCTCCCTACCATTCCCCTTCTTGTTCCTGTTTGAAATTTCCGTCTTTCTTTCCCTCATCTCTCTGCCTCCTCTTGGTTCCATTCTCCCTGCTTTTGGTTGTCTATAAGGCAGCAGAAGTGCTCATCACATGCAAAAGCTAGTAAGGGAAATGGGAAAAAGTTAAGTTAATTTATGAAAGAAATCACATTTATTAACATCACATAGATATATATATGATAACTAGAAACCACATCTTATTTCTACAACCACAGAAAACATCTCTTTCACCTTTGCTTCATTTACCAACCACTACAGGAAGTAACTTCTAAGATTCCAAATCTGTCATTTTATAATCCTTCTCTTACCCCATGAAACATGAGCAAGGTAGAGTTTCAAAATTACACTTGTGCTTTATTCTACTGTAAGATAGTCAGTTATTAAATATTCAGGGTTAGAAATGAATGCTATTTTTATTACCTATCACACATAATACAGACCCTTCTGTTGATGCAATGCAGTAAGTTCTCTACTTGAGTGTGTGGAATACACATGAAAGTAATTTTAAGACACAAAGTATTTTTAAAGCCAGAAGCAATATGGCACTAGAGAAGTTCAACAGGCCCTTTCTTAGAAAACAGTAAACTGAAAGGAAGACTTGCCCCCTCTCCCTGCCTCACTACGATACATCTATTTCCGCACCTATAACATCATGAAAATGGATTTAGTATTTTTATTTTAATGCTCATAAAGAACAAGCTTTTAGAGAATGTCTGAATTTTGCAAAAAATTATTTTCTATTTTTCCTCCTATGCCTGTGCCTATATAAAATTACAATAACACAAGTAACATACGTACCCACAGTTTAACATAAAACGTTGGGCTGCATTTCCCGATTCAAAGCTATTAAAAAGTTTCCATATAATTTTATTAGAGGACACTATAGCTTATGAAGTGGAAAGAGAAAAGTATGGAATGCATATGCTTGCAATACAGGTGAATTATTTTTCTAAATTGTGCAAAAATTTCTTCTTGCCACAACTGTGTATGTAACTATCTAGAGTCAACATGCAAATAAAACTGAATACAAAATTTAAGAAAAGATAACGAGTGAAGATTTAATCACAATGATATACAGTGTACTTTTTCTATTATACAAAATGGTACATTAATATAAATAAATATATATTTTAATCCTAACATTTTATATGGATAGTTAAAAGACTGTAAGGTAAAACTTATTCAGTGGGTTTCTCCTCTTCAAATATTCTTAACAATCCTCATCAATCACCAGTTTAGGAACCTCTTAAGCCAGGAAGAGACTGGGTCTACATCACATAACAAGGAAGAACTCATAAGCACTTTTTAGACTTCAGTATCTACTCTTTGCCAAATAAAAGTGATTTTTACTTTCAATTACAGAAGCTACTTGAAAACTCATTTGTTTTTTTTTCTGAATGAAACTTAAGAAAGCCTGGTTTAAAAAAAAAGTTAATAAAAATGATGTCAAGCCTACACCTAAGTACAACATAGTATCAAGGAATAAAAAGAAGTCACTGCTACCAGAGTAAGTTTAATGGCCAAGCCCTCCTGATTATTATCAATATATTAATGTATACTGATAGTATACAATGTACAGTATCAAAAGGCTAGCTGCCTGTTAGACTTGGTCTACAATGAAAAGCATTGTTGGTGAAGTTATATATGTAAGCACACCTTTTTGCTCAAATCAAATGCAGCTACACTAGCAAAAAATCTTTTTGCAGTGTATTTGCTCAAGGAACTAGCATACCCTGTATTAGCAGAAACCCCTTTCCTTTTTGCTTGCATGAAACACATGCCAGAAGGATGTATGGTGTAACTACACCAGAAATCAAGCAAAGCATGCCAAGGCCTTGAATTTTTTTCCTGGACAGGGGACTGTATTAGGAGTATTAGAAGTTTGCAAGTGGCCTACTTTAGGAGGGAAGAGAATGCCATAAATTCAGTGACAATAAATTTCAGTACAACTCGTCCAGGTTATACTGCTATATAACAAAGAGATTAAATGAACTCTTCATGTTAGGCATCTGCTCCACTGGAGAAAAATTTCTGTATTTAGGACAATTTTCACTCATGTCTTTTTCAGAAGAACAAGGGCAACTTGAAAAAAAAAAATCAATTAAGACAGACATCTCCTTTTTCATAAACAAAAGCAGTGAGGGTAGGGTGCTTAACTTAATCCAGTCTTAAGAGCCAGTGGCTGCTACACGACATTTAGGTTCAAATATGATAAAGTGTACTTTTACAACTACGCGTGGTACAAGAAGTGTGAATCATGCTTCAGCTTCCACAAAACATCTGCCAAAATCCCTCATTTTTTTAACTGCATGGTAGATTACTGCAAAGCCCTGCCACATGTAGCCTCATTTTTGCATCAGCGCAAAACATAGCCCAAAACATGGCAGACTGTCTCATTTATTAATATATAACCTTTGTGTGCTGTGGACAGTACTGATGACACAGGGTTCTGGGTGAATCACAACCTCTAATGCAGCAGGCAGATGGAATCTTTGAAAGACCAACTCTCCCCTTCTGTTTTGCTAGTCTGTGGAGGCACGCAAGCCAGAACTCATTAATGAAGAACTAGCATTGCTGGGTAGGCATTCTTTCCTGACACGTTTTCCATTATTAGGTGCTGGGAAAAGTACCCAGTGAGTTTCAGTGGTTTGCACTGGCTTGTATTTGTTTTAAGCATCAACAGAAGAACCTAGATTGGTGCACTGCTAATAGGTATGCTAAAAAACAACCAATGAAACAATGAAAACACAAAACCCTGGAAAACCCAACAGCTATACAGTTTACAGATCTTTCCACCCTGTTTACCTGTTGTACTTGGTTGTAAGATCTGTTGCAGTGCTATACGATAGCTGCCATTCTCATCCAAGCTTTCAGAGCCTTCTGTATTAAAATGTAAAATCTAGTGCCTTAACACACCAAAATGCTGGGTTTGGAAGCAATAGGCACTTTAGATATACATGCAATAACAATGCATAAAATAAAAGTATGTGTGAAACTATCATAGTAAGTGTTTCTCATTAGCCACTTCAGACATGTCCTTTTCAACACCAGTTAAGTGGGAGAAAGAAAAAGTTTCTTCCTTAGTGTGTGCTGAAGCAGAAGTGAGTACTGTTGGCTTGGGTCAGTGGTCTTATTCCATTCATAGACTTTTCTGTTCAGTTCCGTATGGATATCTAATATAGAGAGTTTCCTGCAGCAACAAAAGTAAAAGCTTTCTATTAGAGAATGAAGCAAGACACCATTTAAGCATCCACAAGAGAGAAGACAACTTTAGATTCAGCAAGGAGAAAGTTTCAAATTTCAGTCTTTATTGCAGCAGCTACACCTCTAAAACCCAAGGCTGAATATGCATTTTGGAGACAATTTGTTATAACCCAAATCACTGGTGTGATAATGGTTATGCTGACATGATGATCTGTGATTTCATTACAAGGTTTTAGCATTTGTAAAAGGGTACTAAATGTCAACCCCACAACTACCTTGAAAAACAGCTGCTAGCTCCCTGGTAGATCAGTTGTGCAAAGAAAACCTTTGTTGGTAAATTATATATCCAAACATACCTCATTTTTTCTCAGATTCCTTTTGATAACCTCTTTAGATAGACTGAAGTTTTCTGATAGCTTGAATTCAAGATTAAAAATTGGCAATCTAGCAGCTCCCTGAGTGGAGGGTTAATTAGATCTAAAGAAAGGACAAAAACCTTTCCTCTCAACTGCCTTCTCCTGGAACTTAGGCACTGACTTCTTATATTTGCAAGCAGAGCCCTTCTTAATGATAAAAGGCAATCCTCAATTTGACAGAAGCCTGGTGTGTTTCTTGTTATCTTGGAGAAGGAAGATTTCCAATCCTGTTTAAAGCACTGACATACATTACCCAGGACAGGTTCTTCCCTTCTCACTCTGCGAGCCCCAACACACTTTAACTTTACTCTCCAGAATCAGAAACCTCACTCCTGCTTTAGACTACCTTCCTGTGCCATCGTTCCAGGATCAGTTATACTTGTCTTTTAACCTATGACACAGCATGAAGACACTTTTCAGGACCAGACAGGATGAAACTTAAGGTTTCTCTTTCTCTAGGACAGCAGGCTGTCATAGGAAAAGGGTTATTTTTTCCTCTTTTTTTCATTTACCTTTTATGAGGATTGCGGAGTAGCTCAGCCAGACAACGCAGATAATATGAGGATGAACTCGGAGATTTTTCTAGTGTAGACACATCCACCTTGCACTGACTCCAGAAGATATCTGCTACCTGGGGGATAGTGATTTTCCAATGAATTTTTGCATTAGCAGTAATTTTCTCATCATTCCCATCTACTTCCAACAGACTAGTACATTCTTGCTCACTTTCTGGCACAATGTAGCTTTGAATAAAAAAAAGCTTCGGTTTTCCTAGGAGTTCAGGACATGAGTCTGCTGTAAAGTATTTCTTTATTTGTTCTAAAGGGAATCCAGAAAAGGTATGGTCTGTACAGAAGATGCTTTGAGGACTTCCACGGCTGACCAATATGCAAATGAAGCTGTCAAAATTTCTGTGCTTCTGCAACCTTGCAACTTCAAGTAATGTTTGATTCATGGTGTTCATATTTAAATATCTGTGACAATGAACGTCATAGCCCAAGCCTCTGAAGGTCTCTTCCAACACATCTGAAAAAAGCAAGATGTAATTAAATCACAGCACATCAAGGCTCAGTCTCAACTACCTTGAATTACAGTATTTACAGTATTTCACTATTGGAAATAAGACATTTATTTCATCACAATAATTAAAAAATGCAGAGAACGATGTTGATCACACTACATCACATGCTTGCAGTGCTACATGCATGTTGTCTTTAATATGAGTTATGTACTTCATGATAGCAAAGACACAATATATTATTTAGCATGTGATCTGTTCCAAATTCCACAGACACTTGGATACTTTCATTTAGAGCCAGTATCCCAAGTTCCTAAGACTTAAAATATCAGGCAAGATACATTAGAAAATGCTTCACACAGAACATTCTTGAAATGGCAAGGACTGATCTGGATAGCGTGGGAAGTCTGTTTCACCTTTTAACTTGTCAAAATTACTTTGAATCGTTATTATAGATATACAGAACTGCACAGGAAACAGAGAGGCTCCTTTTCATCAGTCCCAAAGGAACCTGCTGCAGTCATTTATACTTCCTACTGTATAAAATGGACTTTAAGTGATGAGTTCCAGTTGGAGAATGGACACTGGAGTCTTTGACAGAATGGCATTTTCAGGGGAAAAAAAAAAGCTGAACAATGAACCCTTTCAAATGTGTTAGAAATTACAACTGTAGATAGCCAAAAATCAAGATTTAACTTTACTGTGTTTGTGTTAACCTGTGCTGCAAAAAAATGTGCAATGCTCTGAATAACTACTTTGGATGTTTATTAATATGGGAGTGAAACCAGATACATGGTGGTTAAAACCACAGGTATTTTTTAAATGTTCAGAGAACCACAAGCTATTACAATGACTCATACCTGTAGCATCCTATCTTTAGTATAAACCACATATACATTGCCCATGCACAGTTTCTGATATGACAGGAAATATCAAGTGCCATGTGTATGTAAAATGCCTTACAGACACAGGAAGCTAGCATGTTCCTTGGCTTCAAAAGTTTAACAACCCCTACTTAGCAGAGGCTATTTCAGAGGTAACTGGCAGCAAAGCAGTGTTCTCCTCAAAAAGCCCACAGTGAAAACACAGAACAGAACTCATAACTTTCCTCAGCAAAATACAGGGTTGATACAAACTCTATACTATAGCAAGGTTATAAACAGGAACTATAGAGTTTCATTCCAGTTCTGTTGGTTTGATTACATTTTGTAAAATAAGTAAAAAAACTTTCCATACATTTTTTTATTTGGAAATAGAAAGGAAAAGTCCCTCTATTTTAGGCAATAAAACATGCTCTCGAAATTCAGGTGGAAGATTCAGTATTAATACCGTTGGGCAGTTATATACTCCATGAAGCACTTCATCCATTAGAGGGCAGCAGTATATAACAAAACGAGAGTTACCGCAACGAGAGTGCTTTTCCTGTAATTTACTTACCTCGCTATCACGTGTGCATACACAGCAAGATACAAAACTTGGTGTCACCTTAGACCATACACACACTCTAAGTGTCACAATCAAAAAAAAATTAAACCAAACAAACTTAGAGCTGATACCTTAGTTTAACAATGAATCAGAAATTATACATGGTAAGCTTTGGATACAGCAATTTTACTTTAAGGCAAGACAAAACACAGCATTACATGCTGCAACCTGAGATCAGAAAACATCTGTTTCTTCAACAGTAATCACCTCCCAACAAACCTCCACTGACTTTTGAGCATTTCCATGCTACATAAAAAATTACCCTTTTCTCCCCTCGATTGTTTACAACGTATTGGCTTCCAAATGGAAAAGTCAAAAGCAGCTATTTACAAAACAGCAAGATTCTATTTACAAAACAGCAAGGTGCATTTCGGTTTCAATTGTACCAGCATCTGATGAATTCATATTGTTTATGCTGCGCATTTTCAATTGTTGTAATCCTTCATCCTATCATATCTATTACTGGTTCATCTTTCTCAAATTAAATCTTGGGGTAACTACAGTCTCTTAA